CCAAAGTCATTCATGCAGAAAAATGTAGGTCAAAATGACCTAATTCTGGTACTGATGTTGTTGGTTACTTATAACCTGTACAATGACAAATCATCATGCCATTATAAGTTATAGATGCTGAGATATGGACCTCCACCAAAAATTTAACCAAAGTCACTCATGCAGAAAAATGTAGGTCAAGATGACCTAATTCTGGTACTGACGTTTGTGGTTACCCATGATGTATCCACTGACTAATTATCATATCCCTATAACTTATAGTTGCTGGAATATAGGTCTTCACCATAAATTATCATGAAAAAACTAAGTCCAGCTTAAGGAAAAAATACGGAAAAATTTGAATTTTTTTTTTCAAAATCATACTTGGGATATAAATTTTTATCCATACTGAATATTGTGTCCAAATTTCAAGAAGACTGAATAAAATTTGAGAAAGTTATTGCAGTTTATAAAACTTTGACATTTGGGTTAACCAAAAGTTGGACGCCGACGACGACGACGACGACGACGGAATCTATGGTCGCTATGTCTCGCTTCGCGACATTCGTCGCAGGCGAGACAAAAATGTATTCCACAGTATATCATGTTTACATCTGCACAAAATACCAAATGCCAAAACCAGAATACTACTAATAAATATAAATATATTCTTTACATATGAACCACATTATTTCTGACCCCTTGAAATAATACAAAAAATCTTGCAAGTAGTATATTAGCATTGGCTTGGGCAAATTCGAAAGTGAAATTTGGAGTTTGGCTCTAAATAATCTTTGATTATAAATCCTGGCTTCAAATTCTGAATTATAAGTTTGAAATCAGTACATGATCGATATGTAGGTTTTAAAACTTACGAGTAAATAACACGTGTGATGCTGAAAGCTGGAGTGAGCTTTTCTCTGACAAATGAAATACTGGGAACGCATTCCATAAAACTTTCGAGATTTTAGGAATGAATTGTTAAGAATGACATCTGAAATTCATGGTTTTAAACGAGGGCAGTGGCGCCCCCCTTATATATACTAGTAATCATTCAATATATATTTAACTACAGAAGAAGCTACTTTATGGACCCCCCCCCCATATAAGTACATCTGATGACCTTTTTTAGCCTGTGAAGGAACATACACGTAGCATCAGTGGGCTAAGGGACCTGTTCCCCAAATGTAAAAAAAAATTACTGTTGAAAATGTTCGTTGAACATTTGCCCGGTTGCCCCCCCCCCTTCCCAATTTTTGTTGCAGTATAGTTAAATAGGGTAATGTTGTAGTGGATGAATAAAATTTAGTAGTGAAAGATATTGGAACCTATTTTACTTGTTAGTCGATTTTTATTCTAACTGTTCTCCCCCCCCCCCGCCCACTTGAAAGAAACGATGCTACCTACCTGAATTAATTTTTCTTAATGGTGTTCACCAAAATGCTTGGTTGTGCCCTCAAACTGGAATAGTTTTTAGGAGCCTGGAATTCCTGGCCCAATTTTATTTAATTATAGCCCAACTATATTTTCTAAGAAGGAAAGATTGTATGGTATGTAAGTTTCATCTACATTTATATATGACTTAAAATATATTTGCCCATAATGCGCTCCATACTGAAGATCCGTAGTCGCTATTTTGTAAATGCTCACCTAACCGAAAATGTCCACTAGCAGTACAACACGGGGAAACTCTAAACAAAAGGACCTGTATAATGGAGTGGGGAAAACTTCAATTTTTTCATTGTTAATCATTTGTGTGCAAATATGAACATGGGATTAGTAGATAATAATGTACATAAATGCTTGAGAAAATGCATCAAGTCTTTCCGAGATCATTTTTTAAAAACTAGCCTTTTCGAATAACACAGTATTATTTTACACAGTAGTATTTTATGTAGTAACCCATAAATGCATTAAATGCAACTCATTGAGCTGATTGGTGGATTTGTGTTCCTCACTGAACAGACGTCACAAAAAATATTTTCCTCGACCTGATGGGATTCTCGTGATGCTTTTCCCGCGCACATGCGCAGATCCAGGATAAACGTCAGTCCTTCATAAATATGCATGAAAATATCGTGTTCTTTTCCCGACCAGTACTTTGTTTATACCGAATAATATTTCGTCGAATTAGCAAGAATGCTTCATTTTTGATAGCTTATCATACTTCAGAAATTTTTGTTCGGTTTCAGCTGTGGAAAAATACTGTTTAACACGGCATACATATCTTTAAATACACTAGAAATATATTTTATGTGAAACATAAAACACTTATCTTTTAGTTGATTGAGTGATCGTAAATAATTTAATGAGATATCTGCATGTATTTATAGGGCTGGGCAAAAATATTGATATTTCACTATATTGCAATACAATGACAAAAAATACCGTATTGCAATACAATTTTGTAATATTGATATATTGGCAATATGCTTAGATTAAGGAATTTTGTCATTAAATATAAAAATGGACTTATGAAAGGTTTGTTATTAAGCCAAACAGTAAGACAGAAGCTGTTTTATGGATGTATTTCAGAGCATAACTTAAATGAAATCAACAAGATTTTTTTTCTGTGTTGGTTACTTATCATAGTTATTAGGCCTTTCAACTGCCGCTAGGGGTCGGTGTTAAGAACGATAACTCACTGCTGAAACTTGTTTAGAGCAGGCTCGGGGTATCTAACTGTTTACTCGCAAGACAGTTTTTAGCATTTCCCAAGTGTTTCTTTGCTCTCAGTAGAATCCAGGGGTTTTAAAATTTAGCACCAATGTTACACGTATTTACTGTATAGTTGCGGACACCGGTTTACTGCATGTAATTAAAATTTTTAATTAAAATAAAAAGTGAAATCTACCCGCCTTCTCAGTTCTAACCTATTTAAATTTTTATGCTCGGTCGTTCCCCTTCGTGCTTAGTAACACAAATAAGATGATCAATTGTTGCATTTACTTGTAAAAATAAATATATTTACACAGGAAGCGAAAAAGCGCGAACACAAAAAATATGACATTAAATTTTCTTCTTCATAATAATCATCAAAGAGAGTTAAAACTATTGAATATAGTCTGTTCCCCATTCATTTGACCCTGTTATTTCAGGTAGAGTGAAGGCATTCTCTTTCTCTTGGTCAAAACTTTTTGTGTACAAAACAATGTAAGGAACCCTTTTGTGTATATAACAATACCAATGCTGAAGCAGCCTATATGTCATTCCTATAAACGATAACTCATAAATCGGCACTTAGTTGGTCATTTTTCACACCTGAATTACCTGTCCTTAAACACAACATCGGAAAAGTCAATTATAAATGATTAAACCTTTTAATAATGTAATGAAAAGTATGCATAAGTTATCATCTTTTTTGATAATTTTATGTACCTATAAATCTATCTATGTAATGTTTTTTACCATATGTGCAACTTGAAAAATTAGTTGAAAGGCCTATAGTTATGTACATTCTGCAAGTAAATTAAAGTAAATATAGTAAGAAAATGCCACTTTAATTACAATGAAAATATTGCAATACATATCGCAATACAGTTAAAAATATCGCAATATATTGCAATACAAAATCTTGGGCCAATACCCAGCCCTATGTATTTACCATAATGAAAGAATAGAGGAAATTTGGATTAAGAAAAAAGCGATCGTTTTTGGAAGTAAATAAGTCAAGTAGTGCTGCAAAATAGATAAGATTATGGAGATTTATTGAGAGTAGGAGCATGTTGTCAGAAAAATTTTCACTGGTTGGGAATTAGATAGCAAAAACGAGTGAAAATTCAGGTTGTGCTTTTCATGTATTGCGTGTGTGGTTATGATTTTTACTAGCCCAACGGGCTACCTCCATGCAGAAAATCACTAGCCCGACCCCAAAAAGTGGTAGCCCCGGGCGTCGGGCGATGTTAATTGCACATCCCTGTTCAAATATAATCTAAGCTGTGCACTTTGTGCAAAGGCCTTCAACACAAGGGCCTTTTGATCATGTGACCCCTATAGTAAACCCTCAGCGTTTTTCATGTGTTCAAACCACAGAGTAAACCCAAACCATTTTCTTACTTTTCACAAGGGTATGGGAAAGGTTCTAACTGCCCCAGTATGACATACCTTTCTTGACTGATTGAGCCTGTTTGCTCTGAGAGCTGAGGGAACCACCATCCTCTTCTGTTTATCGTACGGGGGTGGGATTCCTTCAAACACCTTCAGGCGCTCCAAAGCTTCAGCCCCACGGCTTGTCTTGTGAGGGACCATACCTACAATATAGCTGCATTAGGTAAAAATCATCCAATACTATATAGTGTGCTTTAAATGGTTTTCTTTTTTGTTGGATTCTTCAAAATGTAATTTTTTGCTTCATTGAACTGATCAGAATCTATTTTACTTCAGTGAATTACATCAGTGTAGGTAAGGTTTTCTCATCATTTCAGTCCAAATAAAAACCAGAGTTATATTTTCATACTGTAAGGGATTGTTTCAAATATCTTCTAATCTATCATTTTTATTGTTACTTTGGACATACCTCTAACAGCCTTGTAGAACATTTTGCTCGGAGCCCTGAAGTGGAATGGTCCTCTTGTTGGCTTTACATTGCAGCGTAATCTCAGGTATTTCAATACCTTCACTGTGATATATATTAAGACACATTAAACCGTTGAAAACTGTACAAAGCAAGTTTTAACAAATAAATGTATATCATGTGATTTTTTTTTTTTATTTTGTTTTAATGAATTGTTTTTAAATTTAGATGACCTAAGAAGAGATTTCAAAGTACCAAATGAAAAATATCTTCCAAAAACATAAAATATTGCATAAAATTTCCAAATAAATGGAAATGGGACCCTATCCCAGAAAAGCCTTATATAACTCTTCTTAACTCCATGCACTTACACTTGTTCCTGTAGAAGTTTCCAGAGATGTTGATTCCTTCACATCTTACAACCACAACTCTTTGACCTGCAAACCATCACTATCATATTAAAACAACATAACAGCATATTGAAAACTTAACCTTTCTTCATTTTAGCAGATTTTTCAGACAGGAAATTCTAATCACATCTGTCAGACAATGTAGGTAAGAAATAAATCATCATAGAAATCTGCATTCTTATTTTTACTTATTTGTATAACATGAGCAGGTGCACTTGCAGAATGAGAAATCCCTCAAATATTTTAAGGTTAATGGCAATCCAGACTTTGAATAACCTATTAATTAACAGCGTTATTTAAATATAACCAAATCCTATTGTCTCAACTTGATGGGACTAAGAAAAATAATCTATTCAAGATATCCAAAATACTGAAAGAATAAGTCTATAGGACTGACATTTCCATAATACAATGTATTCAAGATACAGAAAACCTTGGTTATGGCGAAGTTACCGGGACCTACAAAATTATTTCGCTATATCCATATAGGAATTTGTTAAATTTATATAACTGGGGATCCAAGATAACTTCACTTCATCTGTAAATTCGCAATATCCGTGTTCGTATTAAATGTGTTTTACTGTATTAGTGTTCAACATACTTAAGTTCAAACTGTAACAAGGTGTGAAGAATATTTTATGAAAGAAGATGATACCTTGTTAAATACACGAAAGGTTATTTTTAACACTACTCAATCACTGAAATATAAAGACGTGAAAAAAAATGGACTGTCGACAGGATTACTTTCCCTGACATAGACATTCTTCAAATTAAAATGATTTGGTATATTGATGATAGAAAACTAAAAGTGTCCGGTTAGTGAAATGGTAGAGCCACTTTTTTTACCTTTTCCAAGACATTGGTCATTTCTCTGTTTCAGAATTCTAAAAGAACCTTTTAAATATCTTTTTTTCCTAATCATTTTTCAAACAGACATCATTCAAAGAAATGTTTCCATTAAAACATAAAACTTGGGAAGATAACTAGAAAACTATATTTACAGCAGATTTTTCAGCCAATCAAATTCAATCATCTTTCTTTCATACAATGTAGGTAAGAAAGTGGATCATCATCAAAATCTGCATGGATAATCCCCCCTCTCCTATTTCTTTGAAATATTTGTTGTTGCATAGAATATAGTGGATGTTTGTGTACAAAATATACTGTGAATGATTTAAGGAATCACTGCCTAGTTAGTATAGTATGCCAGGACATCAACAATAGTGGGAAACATGGGATAATTTATGCATAACGGGCGAAGCCGGTTATGCATAAATTATCCCATGTTTCCCACTATTGTTGATGTCCCTGGCATACTATACTAACTAGACATTGATTCCTTATATTTCCATTTCATTGTGAAATAAAATTGTAGATTTAGACTTTAAAAATGCAGACATAGATTTAAATTACACGAGGATTCCCATCCCAATTTCAATAGGCCTCGCCGACTGACATCAAACACGACAGCAGCCGCACGAAATTTTCATGCATATTTGGCCTCCTTAGCGTCAGACTCATGACAGATGCACATGAGATTTGCATGCGTACTAGGCCTCCTTAGCTCCTGATCTATCGACCTGCCTAATTTACATTCCAGCAGAATTATCAGGAAATCAACTCCGCTTACTTTCAAAGGTTTATCATAGAGAAAAAATTTAGAAATGGAAATATTTGAGAATATTTTGTTACCTACTTGACTGTGAATAAAGCAGCAAGAAAATGAACTTTCATTCGCATTTTATGGAACAGTAATTGTTTACTTTTGATGATTTTGTCATCTTTTAATTCAAGTTGTGTTGAAAATGATCATTGTTTGTTTGTTTGCTTGCTTAATGTCCCTCTCAAGAATTTTTCACTCATATGGAGATGCCAGCACTTGCCACTGGAGAGTTGCAAATTTTCCCCAATATTTGGCACTTACGGTTATTGAGCAGGGAGGGATCTTTTTCGTACCAACACCTACTGCGATACAGCACCTTGGTTTATATGGTCTCATCCAGAGGACCTGTCTCTGTGTCTCAACAATCCAAAGTAGGATTCGAACCTGGGACGTAAGGATCAACTCCTAACATCGCAATTCTAGAGCAGACGCTCTAATCACTGCACATGCAGGCAGATTAGAGGTGTTATACTTCAAGAGTAAGACTTTTTCTGATCAAGCAGCCAAGGGTAGGAGAGAACTATTTGAGGACTCCAGATTGTGGCTTGAAACAATATGCCAAAACTCTGCTGAAATTATTTTCTCAAGTTTCTCTTTTATTTCTTCAATAATTTGCTTAATCACGCACTCAAAAATTTATTCACATTACAGTAAGCTGGTTTAAATAAGAGGTATACAACAAATTACCTTGTAAAATGGTCTTGGCCACAATGGCTGCGAGTCTTCCTAATAAATGCCCTCGGGCATCAATTAACAAGGGCTGAAATAAAACATACGTTAGGATCAATTTTCATTTATGGACTCAACAACACCTGTGTTCTGTATGTGATCAATATGTCAGAACTAATAATTCCAAATTATTTAAACAAATTAGTTAACCCCATAAATATAAATATAAATGAAGTTGCCATCAACTTGTCCAGAATTCATTGCTATAGATGTACTTTGATAAGCACAATATGAATAGTTGATTACTTCATATTGTTTTCAGTCAAAGAATGTTAATTTTCCTGGTTCTGGAAGGACACAGGTTCATGAAAAGAAATGTGTCTATGGAAACCAGGACTAATTAATTAGTCTAAAGGGTTAAATTCTTTTGGTTTAGTTTACGTGTGCTATATAAAGTATAAACATTACAACCACGTTTTTTGCAGTAGGCTGCCATGTTGAAAAGACGGTAAAGAAAGCTCATTTCTCTTTTATTTAACTTCTTTGACTTTTGCTCTCACTAAAGGAAAACTATTTCGTTCATTGCTTCATGTTTTAGTTCAAAATATTCTAATTTGGAGGTACATTTTATTCAGAATTAACATAAATTCATAACCCCCCTTCTTTCACTACCTTCGCTAGAAGACCCATGGTTGAAAAAGGAAGTGCAATGGGGTTCCACGTGTTCCGTTACAGAGGGAAACCGGAAGAGATTAAATACAAAAACCTGGGCAACAAGATTCCGGATATATATTTACTATACTAAAGGTAAAAAAAAAGCCTAATTAGAATATTTAGGAGCAGTAGTACGTTTAAAAATATATCTCTTCCAATCAGGTACAAAATACTAGCCTAATTTTAAAAAGTGGATTTTCACAGTTGACAATTTCTATTTAGGAAGTGCCTGGAACTCCAGATCCTAATCACAGAAAACCCAATCGCAAAGAAATTTATTCCCTTTTAATTAAATAGAAAAACACCCTACAAATCCCAAATAGAACTGAAATGTATATATGCGTTAAATGTGTCAATGGTACATTTACATCAAAGGCACCTGACGTTACTTATTTTTCTTTTAATAAAAAAAAATATACCCATACCTAATATTTATTATAAGGTACGGGTATATTTTTTTTTTATTAAAAGAAAAATAAGTAACGTTAGGTGCCTGTGATTTACATTTAAAAATAAATACTTCATAAAGTTTTCTAAAAGGATATTAATTGATCAATTTTATTATGAAATAGGAAATCAGAGATAATAAAACTAATGTTGTACTATTTATTAAAGAGAGAAAAGGGCTCCAAACATGTTTTAATCTTTTTCTTGTCTTTTAAAGATGTCCAATAAAATTATACGTGCGCATACACCCACAGGAAACACTATCAACGGTGACTAAATATGTTAAATTGTACTAAGGAACATGCCAAGAAGCCAAATACGGTAACTGTTCCCAGATTTAATTATTTTCCTGTTAAAATCAGCTCTCCTGCAAGTACATGTAAGCCGGTGCGTATATAGCTAAAGAAATAATTTGTTTGAGAAAGAACATTTTGCAGATCTTTCCATCTCACGTATTCGCTAGATTTCAGCCATTATGAGACCCCCCACCCAATAATAAACAATCGCATGAAAACAATAAAAGGAAGACGTTACATGTACAGTTTCAGAAGTTCCATTACTATCAGTGTCTTTGGGATATCCCTAAAGATGAGAAATTGCTGGGGTTTTCTGGTAGTATATCATTAAGATTTGAAAGAAAAGTGGAAAATAAACTGTAACAGGATCAAATACTTTGAAGGTTTGACACTTTGAAAAAGTATATTTCGAATCTGTTTTATGCAATTTCTTTTCTTTAGGTTACCTTTTGTATTCATTATTGAGCGACCCTGGTATACATATATGTATCAATGATGTCGATTTTGAACTATTAAAGCTGGGGGTAAATACATATGATATATACTAGTATTTAAAACACACTATAGTATCAATTCTCTGCATTCTTTCAATGTATTTCATTTTATTTATTACTTTCAGTGTCCAGAACAGCTCCTGCATTTCAAAAGAACAAATTAACCTTGACTGTATATATGCTACAACTTTAACTATCCAATCTCGGTAATTTTAATCACAGGTATGATACAAGATGCTTTAATACTGTTCGTTAACGAATTAGTTTGTAAACCCTTTTAGCAAGCTTCATTTAAGATTTTCTTGAGCAGAGGATTAATTGTAAATACTTACCCAACCGTATATCATTACAAATTCGATTTTATTTCCTGTAATATATAATACCGGTAACTCATACAATGTGTTCAAAATATAGTCGTTTATAGGATATACTATTTGTACTTTGATAAGTCTTACTTTATTCTCCATTTAGTTCTCTCAAAATAGTAGAACAAGCTTAAGTATGTTCAGACTAAATATTTTGATACTAAGAGCTCTAGCTCTGTATAACTCCTTGGTGTTTATTACCTACCAACTGTAATACTTTTGTGCTACGATAAAATAGACAAACAAATATATTAAATAAATAAATATTAAATCAATTTAATTCCATATTTTTAAATCTACATGTATCTAAATAAAGTACTCGAATAAACAATATTCTTACACTGGGTAAGTATCAATACTTTGCCGACAGCCTTTTAATTTCATAGAGCAAAAATAAACACAATATCATACGATGGAAAAATGGAAAGGGGGGTTGTCATGATCTTTCCTTGTCAAAAGTTTCTGGTCTGATCTGCTTCAGAAACCAATGTCCTGGGAAGATGGGATTTCAGTTGAATATTATTCATAAAATGAAATGCCAGCAGAAAAGGTTACATTTATTTTAAAAGGTTCTAGGTAAATAGTAGCGATGTGGAAGTTCAGGCTAGAGAGATGGTTATTTATTCAATTATTTTGCCACACCCTTCAGAGAGAGAGAGAGAGAGAGAGAGAGAGAGAGAGAGAGAGAGGGCGTTATTTACAAATATGGTCAGACATTCATTGTACAATGTATACATCGTTGAAGTCTGGTTAAATAGCTCTAATCCATTGAATAAGTCGAATAAAGAACAACATGGCTACGCAACATTACATGTTTAATGGGTCTGATATATATATGACGAGCCTTAGTCTTAATTTCACTGGACACTGTTCCACACAAGGCTGCAGTACATATAAATTGTAGAAGATACAAACTATCTACAACCATGTCAGTTTCTGTAAGTAAATTCTTTTTGATGTCATTCTTTCTTTTTGGTTATTTATCTAGAACTCTACATGTAGATGCAACTTAAATTAGGTAAATAATAATAATAAAAAAAAATGGGGCACATAATATTTTAAGGTTTTCTAGTAATATTGTTTTTTAAATGGATCCACATTGCTTCCACATATACATGAACTTCATTTTACTAAATGAAAATGTTTCTATATTGAGACTTTTAAAAATTATTTGCAACTGTGAAAACATAAACACGAATTTCAATATACCATAAAATATAGAGAGCAGAAATTGATATTAAAGCTTTTGGCAAATTTCTTGGACTACTTAAAATGGATTTTATGAATATAGCAATATAATTTAGAAATTAAAAAAAAATCATTTTTCTTAATAATTGACAATTGACATTCGTATGATTTAGCAATCTAGGCAATGTAAATAAACATAAAACGACGCGGCTTAGTCTTAAGATTAGGGCTCTATCGAAGTATAAATCTCCTTTGAATGTAGTCCCTATTATTACTTGCCATTGTTGGTAACACAGCAAGTGTAAATACGTTGAATAATATACGAGGTGCTCTATAAAGATATATATTTAATATAGTCCTTGAGAATAATTAATTGCCAGCAACACAGTAATGAATTGACAACACGAACCGAATGGACAAACAAACATGTGTGCTGTTTTGAGGCAGATTCTCTTCTGATTTACAAATGTGAATAATTAATTTCCGATATTCCCAAATTAAAAAAAAAAACTCTTTGGGATAGAGCACCTGCGGAAATATAAAGAGCCATGGTAAGTTGATGGATTAAAGTTTTTCTATTTTTTTGTTAACTTTAATCTGTCCAAATCCCTTTCGAAAAGATAAAAAAAGGGACTTTACCCGAAAACTAAAAGACACTATAATATCTATCTACCGGGTTTGGAAGGGGGAGGGGGGTATTAAAATGTCGAAATGCAGAGACACTGTTACAGTACCTAAACGAATCAATTGCAATTACATGTGCATGTAAAAATATAAGAATGATCTATTTATACTATCATAAGTTACACTTATAAATGTTACACCAGAATTCGAAATTATTTATTCGATGCCTCATTTAATTAAGAGACAAACTAACTGTTTATAACAAATATTTTTTCTGTTCAGCCCATCTGTGTTAAAGATGATTTTACCAATACTATTGTATGTAAAATGACGAGATAATAAGAGATGAAAGTCTTAAAGATTAAATTAATCCACCAAGCAATGAAAAACAACACTTCATATACATTGCAGTACATGTATATCATGTATATGTTCCATCTGATAATTATCACCTAGAGAACTTCTCAAAATCAATAATCGCACTGTAGAAAATGCACAAAAAGATCAAACTTTGGTCAGATAAACCTGTTGAAGGCTAAGAGTAAGACCAAGCGACTATTCTATATCGAAAAGTTGACAGCTCGTTATATACGAGGGTTGATCCAAAAGTTCGTGGAATTTCTTCATATTCTATTTTTTAAAAAGTAGAATCGGTTGAAAATCACAAATAAAAATATAGAAACTTGATGAATATTTGAATTAAAATTTTTTTAAAATATCTTTAAAAGTAACTCTATGGCAGTTGCCATAGAAACGGTTGTTTGGAAATGCGGGGGAGACATTAACGCGTTCGTTATCATTTAAATTCTAAATACGTGAAATGAGAATTAAACCGCCCCATGTGGTATATAAAACAAAAATTATGTCATTATTACAATTTCTTGATCTTTTATAAACCTTTGTGTGAGAGTTTTACTGATTTTACTGGATATTTAGTCTATGAGTTTATGATTTATTGTTCATCTTTAAGTTGTTAGACAACGTAAAATTTCGGCCAAGTCATACGTTTTGTGAAAATCCCGGGATCACTCTATCTTAAATGCGTATATTATTGACAAATTCATTTAGTTACTGGTTAGAAAATATAAGAAAAATAGAACTTCCATGGACGTTGATTAAAGGTGTGGTTGCTTTTCTGAGGCTCTGTTTTAAGTGTGTATCCCCCTAGAAAATTAAAAGCGTTAATGGGCGTTGTCGGCTGCCGTACTGTCCTTGATACTGCTACTGAAATTGGAATATCATATGAAAAGATGGGTAGTATTTTGAAATATGAGTAAAAATTGAAGATAAGTTGATGCGAGAGGATACGCAGGTTTTTCTTGAGAAAAGAAATGGAGAAAAAGGCAGCATTTTGTAGAATTACTTGCTAGAATTGGACATTAGCCTTATTAGGGCGAGATGCTTCTATAACGTGACGTTACATATCTAATTTGACGTAACGTCGAAGTCTCCCAGGGTCCTTCGGATGAGACCTTAAAAACCGAGGCCCCGTGTCAGCGGTAGGCGTTGGCACGATAAAGATCCCTCACTGCTCAATGGCCCTAAGTGCCGAGTAAAGGTCAAAATTTGAAGCCCTTCACCGGCATACGGTGACGTCTCCATATGAGTGAAAAATTCTCGAGAGGGACGTTAAACAATATACAATCAATCAATCGAAGTCTCCCCCGGGTTTCACAACTATCCATTTTCAGAAAGCTAGTGTAATCTTACAGGCAATTGGAAACTGGTGAAAATTTTCATTATTGTTGCATTATGACTCTATATTAGGAATATGCCTGTTGTTTGCTTTCATCAAATCACGATAAAAATTTAGAAAGAAATTCCACGAACTTTTGGATCAACCCTCGTATGTCGTTAATGAATTGCCAACTTCTCAATAGAAAATACCAGGTGAGATAAATATCTGCTAAATGCAATAACACACTTCCTTTAATTAAAAAAAAGTTCATTATAAAAAAAACTTCACAAATTCTCGAAGGTCTGTTTTTTTAATTTACGGACATATTATTTTAAAAATACCTGCTCAACCTGAAGTCTGATCGGAGCATTACTATCGATTTGTCTATGAATAATACATCGAGATGAAATTATTAAACGTTTCAAAGCAAGTTTACACGCAAGAAATAAATATCCAGGTTCGATTTTCAGATTTAATGCAAAAAGTAATACCCCCGCAAATAGATTAATTTAATTTCAATTTTCTTGCTACACACAAAGGATATAAAACTGGCTCAGTTAATATAAAGCACAGTCTCACAGGGGTGTAAAGCTATTTTTTGCTATTGTCCTTTTAAATAAAACGATTTCCGTCTTTTAACGCCTTTTCCACAAAATGACATTCAGAATATATTCAAGTGAATGAACTGGAATTTTTATTAGGTTTTTTTTTCTATTTATCAGACAAAAGCATGTCTGAATCAGTTTTTCTGTAAACTAACTTCATTATTAACCGACACTCTCTCGGTTTACAAAGCTATTTGTGATTGGCACAACATAAATGTAAGGTTTATATCCGCGTCAGATATTTATATACCACACTTACTTGGTGTAAAAATTGCTTTCTATTTTCATATTTTTTTCTTACTTGCAGGCTTTGACCCTTGACTCCACTTCAACCATCCCCAAGGTGAGAGCTACTATTACCATTACAATTTCTTTTGCTGAAATGTTCACTTATTTTTATACTCCTTAATGTATTGTAGATCTCATTTTTATACTAATATACATTTAAAAACATTATCCTTGATTGAACGTATCTACAGTCTTTTTAAAGCAAACCCCCTTCACCTATCGTAAAGTTTTAATCAGAATGGTTTAAACGTACATGTATATATAAAATATTTATCATGTCATTTAAAAATCATATATTTATTCAATTTGCATGTATACAAGTATGTTGTTACATGAATGCAGTTGTAGTATATGTATTTTGCTTTGATCTCGACTAAATATTCACTAATAAACTGGTAATCTGGAAAACGTACTTCAATGATTTAACCAATAATTTAAAAATTTAAAATAAGCACAAGAGTCTAATGTAGATTTCTATTTAGAACAGTTAAATTTTAAATATAATTTGATTCAGAAAGCCAACTGCTGTAAAGAGGGAAATATGAGACATGGATTTCAATAAACTATATACATGTATCAACTCAACTGAGATAATCACAATTACTTCTAAGCTCTAAAAACCGTGCAAATTGTTAAATATATTTCTAAATCGTAAAAACAGATTTAAAAGTCGTAGAAACATTTAAGAATCGTACATACAATTTTCTAATTCCTTAAAAATGACTGTTGTGCAATCCATTTTTTAAGTAGTTAGATGTATTAATTAAATCTTTTAATTCTTCTCATTTGCATGAGTGTTTAATTAACATAATATTATTAACTTTAAAAGTCACAAATGAGAATTTAAGAGAGAATTAAAATTTAAGGGAAGATGATAAAAAAAAAAATAGGATGCCTAGATTGGGAAATATTTAAGGACCAGTTTTGATTGTAAATGACGAGAATATATTTATTTGTAAATTAGGATTTGTGAACTTTCTATGACGTGCAATGAAATTCTGCATTTTTGCTGCACTTCTCATAAATCTCTATTTTCTTCTTCACTTGAATCTACGTGATGAAAATTATTCATTATATTAATGAAACATTGCTTTTATTTGTTATATCTATGATTTTGAAAAAGTGAAAAGTATTTGGATCATCTACCACATGTTCGTTTCTCAAATCACGTTTTGAAAAAAAAAATCAATTTGGGTTTTGTGCAAGATATATTTTATCATTATCATTAGAAAAATTAAAATGCGACAATCTTTTAATATAATTGATAATTTACTTCCCACTTTGAAGGTTATGTTCCATAGAGATAATAGCGAGGAGAAAGATGACGAAGTGTTTGCGGGCTGGAAACAGAGGCGTGTTTCTCTGGCGAAGTCATCTGATGATGGTTCAAAAGCCGTGGCTACTGTAAAAGATGGAAAGGTCCCGGAAAAAACCACCAGACGAAGGTCAACATTTAAAGGAGTGGCCAATTCAATAAATTCCTTCCTCTCCATACGCAGAATGAGCAAATACAGACTGAGTATCAGTAACCCAGAGGACGCCAAACCGAAAGTAAGATACGAAAATACCTACAAAATGAAACCCGACGAAGATAAAAAAGTGAGCACTAACAAAATTGAGATTATGGTGAAGTCCATCTTAAATCATTTCTTAGAGAAGGAGACATATTCGGCATCTAGCTGTAGCAAGCTTGCATGTGATCTCTCAATTTTGATAAAGAACAAAGTAAAAGAACTAGGGCTTCCACGCTATAAGATTATCTGCAACGTCATCATCAGCCAAAAGGATAGCCAGAGCATGCAGACCGCCAGCCGATGTTTGTGGGATACCACGACGGACAGCTTTAGTCAGGTGACCTACAGTAATACCTCGCTGTGTGCAGTGGTTACAGTTCATTGTGTATATTTTGAATGAATTATCATAACGGAATTTTGTAATATTAGAAAATTAAAGCAGCTGCAGAGTATTTGAGTGAAAAGGTTGTTGATTGCTCCTTGAAAAAGACTTCGTGTGACAAAATATATGCATATTAATCAGTAGTTGATTATAAGTGACTGTGTTTAAATTAAAGATTTGTATTATATTCAAGGTAAAGGTATAAGTCTAGAAGTGAAACATGCATAAATTATATCTTAACCCTCCTTTTTTTTTAAAGAAACAAATGCACTTGGTGTCTTTGAAAGCGAAAACTTGTAATCAAGCACAAAATGGGAATAATTCCCTGGAGTACTTTTAAGGTATATACACCATTATTCCCCAGATAAAAATATAATCTTCAATCATCTGCAAGTTGAATTAATATGTAATTGTAACCGCCGATTCCATTGTCTGTCTCAAAATATTTTGTCCGCATCTAATGGTTCCTAATGACTTAAGCTGCATATTTCCAATCAATAATTGTTCAGTGGTCTTAAAATTATCATGCAAGTTATAAAAGCCCTAGCTTAAATCATTCAAAAATTATTCCAAAAAATTAATTTAATAAAAAAGGTCAAACTTCATGATCAATGTCTAAAAAGAAGGTACGTTAGGCACCAAAATCCGCCTAGTCCCAAAATCTGGTGATAATATTTAAATAGTGTGTCTTGGATACCCCTGTTTTAAATCAATTTATTTTTTGAAAATATCTCAAACCGTTTTCCCTGCACAACTCACTAAAAATGCAATGCTTTCTTAAGAAAATAACACTGACGACGCCATGACGTTCACATGGCGCTCTGAAATTTCGACGTAATGATTCCGGTACAGCGTAAAGAGTTGTACATTTCTCAACCTAAAAAGATATATTCTCTGAAATAAATTCATATTTAAGTCTATTTTACTTATATCTTTTTTATTTAATCTATTCTAAACCTTTCAGTTTTTTTTCTTTATATAAATTGATATTTACAATAACCGTGGGTCATTTAAGGTGACAATTTTCGGGAAAAAACTATTTCACCAAGAAAGCGTATATATTGTCAGAATTTTTCCCCTCTCCATTTCCCTAAAATTCATGATATTAATTAAAATACTGAATTAAATTTTGAAATACCAGTATACCATACAATCATGCTTACCTTTTATATACTTATTTAGGTATATACGGATCAATATAAAAAAAAGCAGCTAAATGGTTCATGTGAAAATTGGAAATACAATTAAATATTTCCGTTTCTTTTTTGTATCTAAATTGATAAAGCTGCACAATATTTTGGGAAAACAACATTTAGCAAACAGTAGGGAAGCTATTTTTTTCAGAATGTTCTCGTAAATATTATCAAACTGTGTTTTTCTGTCATTGGTGTTACCTTATAAAATTTTGTTGTATAGAATCAAGTGAAAAACTTATGAATGCAAGCTATGATAAACATTTATTAGGATTATTCAAGTTGACTGATAAGTCCAAAAGTTTCATTGTCCAGTGATGAAAATTAAGTTTTCAATCATATTTGGACATTGACATGAGACAAAAATAAAAAGACACACGCTATACTATGCTGTAAATGTGGTGCCATGTGTGTATAAATCAAAATAAAATAGTTTATGATTTTTTTCAATGAGTAAAATTAGGTAATATAAAGTTATTTTTTACATTTAAACTTATTAAAAGGGAAAAATAACACGTTTTAGGTTGGTTACTCCACTTACTCAACTGTAACACCAATGATTGAAATCAGTAATACCAATGACTTAGCACTTAAAAACCAGCAATTTAACATAATACAACATGAAATTTTATGTGAAAGACAGAATACACTGCATGACTAACTTACAGAAATGAAATAAGTTTCTGGGATTTCATACTTAAAATGATCTTATAACAACAAAAAGAAATCTGGTAACACCAGTGACTGAGACTTATCCTATTGTGACCATAGAATAATACAGAGCTACATGAGGTGTACTGTCATTTAATCATTTAAAGAATATGTGATTTATGTAGATATGTAGATAACTTTAAAAAATATAAAGGAGAAAACCCCCTGTTGCAAACGTTAATTTTTTATTATACTTTTCTTCAATAAAGCCCCACATGTATACTGTATACAAGTGCATGGTAAAAGCTGAAAGAAATACAGTGTTGGTTTATCATTGGTTTGAAAAAAAATAATGTGGGTAGGATAAAAGGATCTCAACTGTGTCGGATATAACGTTTTAAATCCCATATTCTTCATTAAAGTACTAGTGGTTAAAATGTATTAATCAAAATCTCTTGTCACTGGTGTTACTTCACTAGTCATTGGTGTTACCATAAAAAGGTAACTATTTGTAGAGAGATTTAAACAAACTAAGTTTAACTTAACTAATTTTACTTTACTTAGGTGATAACCTCTGACATTCATACTTGGCCTGTGAATTTTTCAGAGGGGAAAAAATATTTTCTGAGCATAAAAAAATGTTTGTCATTGGTGTTACATGTATATGATCTGAAGTTGTCATTGGGATTACCATATATTTGAAACGTCTGTAAGTGGGAAAAAATATCTATTGGAAAATAAATCAAAATACTTTCAAACACCATAAATTAGGTTTGCAAAGTAGAATACAAATAAATAACTTTTCTAAATAAGAAGAATATATTTTGTCTCAAAAGTACTTGTTTTGTCAATGGTGTAACCATTCCTGTCATTGGTGTTAAACGTTAGGAAGTAATGCCAATGACAGTAACACCAAAGACGTATTAGTCATAAAATGATCTGGTATCTCTAATTTACCCTGGATAAAGTAAAAGTTTTGTCCACATTGCTATCATTTCACCTAAAGAACATCTTACGTAAAAGAGTCCAATGAATATCTAAAATCGTTTTGAAATAACGATGGAAACACCACTGACAAAAAAAGTCTGTACTAGTGTACTTTTTTACTTCTGAAGTCCATCAATATGTTCTGATCATGAATATCAAAGAACTTTTTCTGTTGTTTTTGGTTAGAAGTGATGTAATATGACTTAGGACTGTTTATATTCTCTTATCAGGAATGATAACTCTTTTGTAGCAAAAACAAAAATAGTAACACCAATGACACAAATTTCTTGTACAGTCATATTTAATGCTGTATCAGTTAAATGGAAGATGGGGTTCATATTTTTTTATTCCAATATATATTCTATTTAACATTTACTTTATGCATACATGATTTTTCAGAAAAAATTTCATATAATTTTTGACGTATTTATCCTTATTTGAAGAGAAAAATTCCATTGACAGCTGAATTTGGCTGATTGGTATGATAAAAATCATCTATTGACTTAAATGAAATTAATTATGTGAAAATTTCTATAAGTAAGTAGAAAGTACAGATGACATAGATTATAAAGCAACAATCCAAAATAGGGAGAAAATAAGAAATAGGATTTTACAAAGAAGTGACACGTTTAGCTGCTTTTTTTTATATTGACCCATACATGTATGAGAATATACATACATAATTCTATGTATGTACACTTAAAAGCGCAAGATGTGCTTTTACTGCGTATAAAATCTTGACTGCAACATAATTATCACATATTTTATGCCAGCATTTTCCTTGAATTTTTTTTCCTATTTAAGATTTATTTTTGATTAAGCTAAGACATTATCTATGCATTACTTTGTTTCGGTTTTATTACTACAGTATAGTACTTTTTAATAGTATATACTCATTATTGATATGAAGCTTAATAACGTTACATATTTTTTTAAAAACAAAGAACAGACAAATATTTCATCTTAAGTGTATGAAAGAGAAAATATTCCCAACAACGACAGCAATGTCATCCCCTGTCCTTTTGACAATCACACATAATCTGTATTTAGTATTTGTGGTAGTCGGGTCTGTTATCATGCTTCTATAATAATATACATTGCACATGTATTAATAATTGTGACGTGAAGCGGTCATCCATCCAAGGGTTAAACAGGCTCGCCGTTGCTGAAAACCTGACTCACTATCGAGGCAGTATAAGTTGCATATATACAGTGTACTGTCCGCTACAGCCCCCCCCCCCTCCCGACCCTAAGCTTAGCATGAGTTCTCTCTGAGTGTCTGGACCTCTTCAGTACCGGCATATAATGTCGTCCACGAATACAAACTCTGTACCTGGACACAAAGTCCTAACTTTAGAGCTTCTGGATGCTAGCTCTAAGACTGCCTGAAGCAAAGTCGCCAAACAGCAGAGTCACAATTAACGCTTCCATCAATTTTGTGAATTTCCGCGACTTTAAATAGTTATACATGTACGGTAAGCACTTATCATCAAACGGTTGCCAAAATATACCTGCATTTACATGCATTTCCCTCCTTACATGTGTATAAATGCATACACGTACAAGACATAATGTATGATGCATTTATTTTCAGAAAGTTCAATAATTTAAGGAATGTCGATGTGTCTTACCGATCAATAAAAACCGGTGTAAAAGAGATTGCTGCAATTGAAACAAAATAATAAACATCTAAAAAATGTGAAAATGACTTAAGACAGTGGTGATCAAGGAGAAACAGGTTTAACTTAGCTCTTTGAATTAAGAGGTACATGGTAAAATATAAGTGGCGGAAAATAAAAAATATAATCGCGGAAAAGCAGTAAAACTTGTTTTGAAAACGCAAGATTTTTTTCGCGGAAAAGTTGTGTCGAATCGCGGAAAAGAGAAACTGTGAAAAGAACATTTAAATATGTGATAGACCCCACCATGCTACAAAACATTCTCGCAGCTCTACATTTATAACCCACAACTTTGTGCATGCAACTGCACATATAGTCAATTGTAAGTTTGTTGTGTGTATTCAGAACTTCTTAGAGTCTTCTTGGGAAACTATGTAACAAGGTCACATCATAGAAGAGAACACCCCCATTACATACCCCCCCCCCCCCACGCCACCCCCAAAACACTATATTTCTGAGACATGAAAACCGTTCCGTACAATTAATATCTTCGTAGCATAGCTAAAACTAATGTCTTTTTATCAAGTTTAATACAAAAAAATATCTTTATTTAACATTTTTAACAATCTGCCATATTTGATATATGTACATGTAATATATATCAAAACAGAATATAAGTCAATATCAATAAAACTGAACTCCTGGTTATTAATTAAGGGACGGCCATTATTTTAATATACGGTAGGGGTCGCCAATTTTTAGATTATTTACTTTTAAACCGCTGTATGACAAAATGAGCTTTTCCAAGATGTTTAGAGACCATTTTATTTAATTCCCGGTAAATTTGACAAGCATAAAAATCAAAACTACGTATAGTGTTTTGGACGGGTGTAGATACCCCCAGTCAAGGTCAGAATATACTTCATTTACTTGTCCAATTGTTCTTGAAAAGATTTATAGAAGACACCTTTTATGCAGCATGCATTTACTTATAATGTCGTCAATTGAAATTCAATTGTATTTACTTATTTACCGCTATCTGTTTTCAAGTCGACGAAAGAAAGTTCCGAATCCGATTTTACACAACTTTTTTGAACAATGACACTAAAATGCAATTGCTGGAGTAAAATAAGGAAAGCAAATCGTAATAAGACAAAATGCAAGTGCAAGCCAGAAATTGAATATTACTCATCTGTTTATTCGCACGCACTTATATATATTATTTATTTATAACTCATTTATATAATCCCCTACAAGTTTGTTGCAATTTATGGGGGAAAACAACAATGCGGAGTCAGTTCAAGTATTGTTTATAGAAGGAAAAACAAGGTACATACAAATTGTCACGGGAAGGGAAGGGTGGAGGGGGGGGGGTAGGTTAAGATTTTTTTTTGTTGCAAGAACATGTTTATGAATCAGTCAAAAAACTAGGTTTCTAAATGTTACGTGATGAATTATTTGAGATTATTATACAGGTAAATTGTATAAAAAGAATAAAATTAAAAAAAAAACCGGTTCTCTAAAATTAAGGGGCATGCCCCCCCCCCCCCCAATTTTATAATTAAATTACATTCTATACTTATAAACAGAGTAATTAACTTGTAACATGTATTATGCAATATGTACCACTAAATATACATAAAGGCATTGGTTTTTATTCATTTTACGTAATACACTGAAAACAATGAAGCCCACTTATATGATCTTTATACATATACAATCGGGTGTACGAGATATTGATATTTACAGCGACAATGACTAGTTTTGTTGGACAACTTACCTTGAAAAAATAAATCAATCGTATTTTCTTTTTCTGGATTTCAGAACGTATTTCAGAAGGAACATGCAACAATTTATTTGTTAACAATTTTACGAACATTTTTTTTTATTTTAAATAAGTAGGCCTATATCGATTGAATTTACTTGAACAAAAAAACCCCTCCATATTAATGGTGAAAACAGTTTACTTTTCTCGTCCACATAATCTCAGGATCTCTTCACAATTATAAATTGTCATATATCTTTCAAATTACCTTTTCTGAGGAATTTTGATGTTCTAAAAATATTATCAACAGCAACTTAGAAAGAATTGAAAAAAAGTATTTTTTTACACGATCTATTGTGACGTCATCTATGAGTTTATTGCGTAATATTCATATTCGTAATATTCATAATCATTTCCAGGCGAGAATTAAACAATTATATCAGTTGCAAAACAAACATAAAAAGTGCTAAAAATCTTGATTATTTAAACATTTTCTTATCTGCGTACTTTTACAATCTTTCTCTTTAATTTTTTTTTTTTTTGGGGGGGGGGGTCAGAGGAACACTTTAACTTCAATCGTTAAGCATGCTGATCTAACGTTATCCCTATCGGTAATTTTCACCTGGAGGGTGGATAAAATATATTGTCTACCTAATTTATTGTTCAGTCTATGTTCTTAATGATAATGATTAGACTAATTTACTCATTTTGTAACTTTCTAAAAAATTTAACAGCTTTTACGGTGCCTTTAATTGAAAAATAAGTTCACATTAGATTTCTCAACTTGAAATCCGGAATAACAAAAAAGACATATAAACTCAATTTCAACATTGGCCGCAGCAAACGCGATTCACGAGATGTTGTTAAATCGAAACATTGTTGCGTTATAAAAAATATATGTAAGTTTCATGAATCGCGTTCATTGCGGCCAATGTGAATTTTGCGATCAAAGATATAAAAACTGCCATTTTTGGAGAATATATTGACACATGGTATGGTTTTGAAATTTACGTAGCGTTTGTGTGACGTTTAGGCGCCATTTTACATCCGTGATCAGATAGACCTGATTGTGTACAAAATATATCAACACTTTATTTCTGAAGATATCATTGTTTCTTTTTGACGAATTTACTAGGCCGATAGTGGTAACAATCGTATTTTGTTCTTTGTTGATACTCTAGGGAAGGAATTGTCAAAAAATAAAACCGTGAAGTATGAAAGTTCTTGACATTGCATTAACCCCTCAAAAGTAGGGTCAAAATTTAGTACAATTTTGTAAAAGTAAGTCAAACTTCAAAGCTATGGTTAAAAGATCATATTATAGGTGTCCAAAGAAAGATTTGTCACATTCTGCAAGGTTTGTATAACAGCATTGTTGGTTGTGTTTAACAACACAGAATGAATAAAACAGAGAAGGAAAATATTTTTGATTTACTGCTTGAATCATGTTAACATTTGTAATTATTATATTAAAAAGATACGTAAAGTTCTATGCATTTGCTTTGTTTATTTTCCATCATCCGAAATCTTTAAATGGTCAAGGGCTCTTGTAAAATCCGTTGCTAACTGAAGGGCTTCTAACTTGTTTTTAGTTTTTGAAATCTTCATCACGTGTTTATAGAAGACCTCTGGCGCCTGTAATAAAGAAATGAGAAAGGGATGCTTATAACGCCTTAATAAAAGAAGGGGATGAATAAGACGTACACTAAATGCTTAATATAGCTTTCAAATGTATAAAAGTTATTCATATTTGTCACACAGTAAGTCAGTGCAAATTTCTCTCTTGTTCGTCCGTATTTTCAGCAGTCAATTTTTGTAATCAGTTTAATTAAGATTATTATTTATTCAATTAAGATTATTATTTTAATATTTCTGAAAGTTGAGCGCACCTCTTCCTTCATTTGTGCTAAAAAGACAATGTCTTTAGCTCTGTAACTTTCGAACACTTCTCTGAAAAAGAAAATGATGAAAAAAAGCATTGAAAAAAAAACAGTTAAATGTATTGCAGATAACCTCTTACAATACTTTTATGCTATTCAAAAGAAAATAATAATTACTACATACAACATGATTGCTCAATTTTAAGGAAAAAAAAGTTTAAAAACATCGATAAAGTACAATTACCTGGGCAATTGATGCTTATCCAACCAAGTTATAACTTGTTCTTTGTTCAGTTTAGCAAATTTCTGCAATATCAAGAATAATCTTGGTGTACAATGAATCACGGAAAACTAATCAAATAGTAGCCGATAAAATGCTGAGCTGACCTCTGACCTTTATTTTACTAATAATACCTTCCATCTTTTCCCGCTTTTCTTGTTTTGAACTGAGTCCTTTTCTTTTATTGGTGGTATACTATAAGTCGGCTGACCGTGAGATGATGGCCGCGGAAGGGTGTAGCTGGGCTGTCCGTGGAAAGAAGTAACTAGCGTTTGTTGGGGAGTTATAATATCCTTATCGCTTCCATCTGTTGAATCTTCTTGATCTTTTAAACATTTTCTTCCAAGTTCTCGAATCAACTCCTCTATTTTCATTTCAAATGGTTTTTTCACGAAGTCATAATGATAATCTCCGGCAGTCATGAGAGCAAGCCAGCCCTCAGCTACGTACTCCGGGTCCACCAACAGTGGGATTCGCGCCCTTTTTAATGATGATGCATATGCAGCCTCTGGATAAAATAGAACAAAAATGAAACATGCATTAAAGTTTATATATATTTGCTTTTTTAAAAAATCATTCTTTATCTGCACTTTGGGAAAAGACAAAGTTCTTAAAACCAATTTACATGTATACTTCCACTGAAGCGAAACAATAAAATACTGATAAGCATTTCATTTACCTCTTCTGCAGTATTCACTTCTTTGGTAGCTAAAGGACATAGAAATCAAAACAACAGAGGCGTTCTGAATGGCTTCTGCCATTCTATCGTACACATTGTCTCGCATTTGTTCAATGTCCATCCACACAGTAAACCCTGCCTTCGTTATTTCATCTTTTATTCGTAGCAACAGGGGGCGCTGTTCTCGGGAATAACTGATCATCACGTGACCTTTTGATTTCTTCTGGAAGAATTCTCCAGCTAAAAATTTTACCAATATGGTCTATTCAGTTAATATTTTAAACTCTGATCAAATGGTTGGTGAGTAGAACTATTTTAATTTTCTTCAGCATGAAGAATGCTTGACCATTGCTACATTGCAAGTATACCTATTTCTGCGTATTTCTTTGAGGAATGAAGTTGTTCTGATAATGTCCATAGAACACCTCTTGCTGATTCTCGGACTGAGGGAAATGAGGGCGATTTGGCCAGATTAAACAGAGTGGTCACAATGTCTGTCTTTTCATCCGATATAAAAGTTTGTTTGTTGTCATCATTGAATGCAAGGTGTGCCAATGTTTTTGTTGCGGCTGTGAATCAGAAAACGTACAAGTCGTTGATAGATGAACGTATTCTAACGATTAATTCTTGATTTCAGAACAATTTTTACTTATTATAGTTATGCCAAATAACAGAGAAATGAATAGGAAAGATCCTAATCAAAGAGTTTGCAAAATCATAAAAAAGACGAAAAAATAAAAGATTGTGAATGTGTTGAATATCATTAAAGTAATAAAATACTTTAAAACTTACTTAGTTGCTCTATTTCCTCGGTTTGTTTCGCTAGTTTGTTGAGCGGACGTAATACACCGTACTCAACTAAAATCTTTTTGTTGGAATCAAATATTGCAAGATTTCCTATAACTGTGAATTAAAACATTTATTAATTGATGATTTAAAAGATAACATATTTTTAATCATATAACATGTATAACGTACTTGTGGTATAATTTTGTATCTATACTAACTTTTTGCTAACTCAAATGCGAACCATCCATTGAACTGTCCTGATTGACACTGAATGGACTCCTCTATCCCACACATCATAAACTCTACGTCAGCACGACTTCCCGCCATGCTTGCGTCATTTTCGTTCATTATGTCACTTGCTGCTGCTAAAAGGGGAACACTCTTTAAGAGGTCATTTTTTACGACGTCACTTTCCAGATATTTTAGGTAGACGGGAAGGAAACCTGCTGCCCGTACGCTGGTGGTTGTGACGTCACAGAAAGTGCACATGTTATGAGTTGTAGCACCTATATACGCTATTGCTGTCCTTTGAGCATTCTAGGGTAAAAAAAAAAGAAATTCAATCTTGTTGTTTATTTCACTGAAATATGGCGTTTAATTTACCTGTACATTTACAGACTTTGTGTATTAATAGGCAACGAATTTTATTTGAAAATGTGTTCAAGATATACAAACATGTGCTGAAAGTGTTTACTTTGAATTTCGATTTTACATGTATATCATTAAATGCATAGATCATAACATTCAGTTGTGCAAAAGTTTGAAAAGTACTAGTACTTCAAGGCAGAGAAATCTATCAGATCATTAAAATCAGGAAATAATACAGGAAGTACTCACATTTATCTTTGAGGTTGTGTAAGAATCATATAAAATATCTAAAACATCCTTTGCGTATAAAAGAAGGTCTTTAGCAGCTGACAACTTCTTACAAACATCGGGGGAAAATATAGTTGCGTTCATGAAAAATTCCCACACATTCAGTTCTTCTTGCGATATGTTTGGAAGATTTTTTCGGTTTTTGGGACAAAAAGCAATCATGTCGTCCAACAAATTCCCCTCACAACAGACCTGAGCACAAATTTTATTTCCGAGCTGGAATTTCTCAGACAGCTTTAAACCAACTACCATGATGCACCCTATCCCACCAGACAAATTCTTTATAGCATTAGACACCTCCGGACTGTCCAGTGTCTTGCCTTTAGATCTGCTTTGTCGAATCTCTGATAACCATTTGTTAGAGTCTTCAATCATACGATCTATCAGTGCCTGCTTCTCATCTATCAGTGCCTGCTTCTCAGTTGCTACAACTGAAGAAGGAGTAGACGGCTCCTTGGGTACCTTTGCTGCAAACATGTTTATTGTCTCCTAAAGTTGCTTTATTTAATTCTGAAAACGAATAAAATGTTACCAAATCAGCATAATTATGATTTCATTAATCAAATAAAGTCATGTAACATGTAATAATGGTAAAGCCATTAAAATTATACTAAATGTTTAAATACTTTGCTTTAAGAATTGCATAAATTATTATTTACTATCATACTTTGGAAATTTCACTTTTTGTTAATCTTATAGCATTAATTTGTCTCATATATACATACATGTATGAAAATAATGTAAATAAGCAAGCTATTACTCCTTTAACTATCAAAATCTCTATGAGAATTTACATGACTGTATTGCGTTTATCAATAAATTTAAAACGTATTTATTTCAAAGGGAGAAAGATAGATATCATCTATTATTTCTTAGCCAGACTCATATATTTATACCCAATGGCCATTGTAAGTCACTACCAATCCACGGCTGTACGTGAAATCGAAACTAAATTCAGCTTGAATATTCATTTTGTGAAATATACTTTTAACTGTTCAAGTCTTTGATATGTTGAACACCTTAACTTCTGATTTCAATCTTAAAACAAATAATCTGATAATTGAAGAAATTTTTTCACCATTTCCGGTATAAACATAAATATGAATAACACTTACCAGTTTGACCTAAGTTGTAATGGAACACATCCTGGAATTCGTGGATTTTTATATTGCATTTAATAAGTTTAACACTCTTAAAAAGGATACAATTTTTTTTAAAAGGGAGCCCTGGATGTTAGTAGTCCATTTTGAACAAGCTAACGAACGTGTTTTATGTCTTGTTTATTTAGTATGTTAACATTGCCATGAACGCCATTCCGATAACACATCGATTTCGGGCATTTAAAAATGTCTGTTAAATATATGCCGATTTGCCGGGTTTGTTTACTTGAATTTTTCAAGGATTCCTGATACATTTTATTCATGACGAAACATGCATCTGTCCAAAATATTAATTTTTTGGTATAGAATGCATCTCTTCTTATCATAATTACACAATGCAATGTACATGTATTTGCAAAGTAGATTAGAAACAATGTTTTGGACACGAGATTATTGAATACTAAGTTACCGGGAACAAGGCATGTAGATTTAAATTGTGTTTAATAGTACACATTTAAAGGTAGATAATTATCAATGCATTATGTAGCCGGATTATATGGGCAAGACTGCGCTCTGAGACAAAATGTAAAGGAACTTACACGAAATAAATCAAAGAGCATTTACACTCAACACAAATTCAACATAATGTAATCTTTTCATAAGAGAAAAATATCGAAGAATTCCTGATGAAACGGTGTAAATTAAACGAGATATACATTTTTAACGAAATGTTTAGAATCCTTTCGGAATAGTTTTAATCTGGTCTTTGAACTATGGTAAACTTTCAACACAATATAAAACATAATTAACATGGTCTGCGCATCATTTTTGGGAGTTGAACTATGTTCAATCTCCCTTGGTCATCACGCATTTAACATGCGCAGTAATTTGTATTGATCATATAGAGCCGAAAGCGAGGCTACTGTGCCGACCGATTTACTCCGATGACATTCAACAGAAAACATGCATAAACATCCGCCACAAATAGTTCATGTCATTTTTCTCCTGAATTGATCTAATTTTTATAATTTGAAATGTAAGTAAATGTTCTGATAAAGTAATCTTATTTTGAATAATAGATTTCGTTCAAAGTAAAACTAAATTACAAAGAACCTCAAAAGTTTTTCGTAATGGAACTCATTTTTAGTGTAGCGTAATCTATAAACACTGAAATAGATACGAACGACAACTTTACATACTGACGGCAATCGGTAAATCTAGTCTTCCCGACGCCCGACTCCCGACGGTCCCGGATTTTTGTTTTTTAGCAATTTCTTTTTTACCGGTGCACAAAATTAATTCAAACTTTTCATGAACATTTTCTTGGTTTAAATGAATTTATTCGGGGAACTTCGCCGAATTTCGGACAGTTTGGTACCTATCGGAAGTTTAGAGCCTTTTGTTACATAAACTATCGTCACCGCACTGTACAGCCGTTTCTCCCGTGTTCTGTAAGTTATGAGTGGACGAAAAATCACGAGAAGTCCGAAAAGAAACATGTTGTGATAAGAAAAAGTCAAGAGGTTGTAAATAGTGTGTTGTGTGTGGGGTTAAGGAAAATAAAGTTATATTGTTTGCTATCGCAACCTGTAACAGGTTTGCAGATTCGTGTGAGCCATGCTCATCTAAGAAAACATTCTCAAACCATTGGAGTGCTATGTCTTCGTTTAGCCAACCGTTTTCTTGAAACGTCCACACTGTGCCCTCCGGGGAGTCAGCGATGTTAAAGCCATGAAGGGATTTACTCGTTTTTCCCTTTACGATCAACATGGGTGGCATGACCTTGCCAACGGCATTACCGCATGCCATAATGGTTGTGTTCGTACGATCGTCACTCGTACGTCCAATTACGCATCGCACACCTCGTTGAAATAGTACCTTTACGGGGGGGTGTTCGAATTGTTTCCCACATTCGTCCGCATTCCATATTCTTTCAGGGTGATTTTTTAATTCAAGAGTGTTGATTATTTCCTCCAAAACATCAAAGTTTTTTTCAACAACTGCAGGGTTGAGCATTCTTGCTCTTACATTTCCTAATTTTTCTGGCTTTCTCAGCGACAATTCTTGGTGTCTCTTAGTGAAACCATAATACCAGTCTTTTCCGTGGGTACTATTTTAAATCTAGCAACACCTGTTTTTTGGCAAAGTGTGCCAACTTTGACAAAAAAATGTCTCCTGGATGTTCCAAACCCCATTGATGTCGCTTTAGTAACTTTGTCAACAAGGTCCTTTTCAATATCGGGGCTAAGGTATAATGGCTTCATACCACTCCAAGCTTCAATTTCAGTTTTTCCCGTCATTTTATTGGAAAGTGTTGACTTTGGAATTTGAAATTTGTCCGCCGCTTTTCTCACAGACATTTCAGTTCTTACAGCTTCAATAGCTTCTTGTAAGACCTCCTCCGAGTGCCTTTTATATAAACCTCTCTGCTTTTTCTTTGGCATTCTGATAAATTCACAATTTAAAATCAATCCTTATTTGTTTATTTTTTTAATTACTTACAAAACAGAGTGGGGGCGTGGAACTGAATGTTTTAATGAATACTTTTGAAAGGACAAAATAATGTGTTTTATTAACAAAATTTTCAAAGTTAACCTAAAATGATTAAATAAGGAGATTTTCATTATAATACTTAGATATTATGAAATAGAAATTTAAATCAAATGTAAAATAACAATACATTTTTGGAAAAAATCGTAAATTTGAAATATCTAATTAGTATCTCATTCATGTAATGGGTGTCCGAAATTAAAAGAGTGTGAAAAAATAATGTCTTTTAATTTCGAACATTTTAAACTGATAATAATTTAATTTTTTATGAATTAATTAGGAATAAATTATAATGAATATTACAATTATTTCATATTTAAATCATGTGATATATATTCAAAAGAAAATTCACTGAACCTACTTGCACACTGATCTCTTGATGGCACTACCAGTGACAGCTTAAATTTCCCGGCACTGAAAGTTCTGAACTATCCGGAATTCACCGAGTTTTTCTAAGTGTTAAGTATGCTAGGGTGTTTATTTTATTTTATTTTACACCATGTTCAACTCCCATGAGTACTTCCAGTACTTTGATTTAAATTATCATCACCTAGCAACTGAGTTGAAAAGCATATAGCAATGTTCTTGTGAGCGTGTGTTTGTGTTCTAGTTTGTCCTTGTTTGAAACGGAAGTGACATAATTATAATTTGCTATTGACATGAAAGGCCGTATACTTGTAGCTGATACTACGGCTATTCATACATTTTGACTGTTCACTTATCTGGATGATTTTTGACTGGGAATGGATTGACCGTGTTAGCAAGATTCAACTGCATAATGTAAGTTAAAACTAGTTAGAGACGTACTTGTATGAAAGAAAGATATAAACATGTAAGTCTATCATTTTATATAGTAAAGAAAGAAATAGAAAGGTTACTAAAAATGTTATATTATGCTTTAATATGAATTATACAGATGCAATTAACGTGTGCAAAATTTTTTACTTAATTTTTATACTTGCCTAAAATAAAACAACTTTAGTAAAATTGATACTGAATATCTTTTTCAAAAATCTTTCAAGTTTGAAATAAATGTAGGACATTTGACAAGTATACACTACTGACTGAGAAAATAATATAGAAATAAAAACAATATCATTGTTGCATTAGGGTATTCTTTCACAGGTACATGTACATACGGTATATCACAAAAGAACAAAATGAAAATCCGTCAAATGATATAGAGAACCATGGGTAATATTTACGACGCTAGGTGTCGTTGTGCAGGTCTGAGCAATAATCTGAAAAAAGCATAAGATATTCAGGACCAGTATTTTTTTTAAATATGTGATATAAGCAATGTCAAATTGCAAGATGTTGGATGTTTGAGAGAAAATCTAAAGACAGAGACAACGATTTACCGAAAATCCTCCATTTATACAACGGATAAAAATACCGGACATGACACCATGATGACCATGCGCAAAAGTTGACACAGGTGTGTACGATAGTGTATTATTTGGATTTGAATGACACTCATCAATAACCTAAAAACAAATCAAAAAGATAAGTAAGCAGCCTAAATGTACAAATCTAATATACATATACATGTATACTTAAAACAGCTTTATTTAACATTTCTATGCAGAGTAAATGCCGAAAGTTCATTTAATGTTAGTCCTCCATTGAAACACTATTTCATTCTGAATAAAACATGAAACTTGAGAGTAGTCTTAATTCACCACATGCAACGAATATGCTTGGGAATATTGAAATTCACTTGAACATTTCTAAAAACAATCTTTCTGCATTCTCTAAATGATTTAAATTGAACTATGATACAAATTTATTATGAAAAGAAATTTTAGCTTGTTCCCTCTCAAACTGTTATTGTTTCGAAAAAAACAAAACATTAAGGACCCTTAATTTGAACGTGAATAGTTGTACATTTATGTGTTTCTTAGTTTGCAAATTAAACGAGAAATACAAATATTCATATACTTTCATATTATTTTTCTTATATTAGTTTGTATTAAAAGGGGATAGCAACCATTGCACTTATAATTATTTGCCCCAGATTTTGCTTGTTTCAATCTGTACATCATAGGAAATAAACCCTAAACTAACCTTTCGACCCTGTTTCCAGTTGGATACGAGTGGAATCCCACAATATTGAGTAAGTAAAGATCCTGGAGACTGGTAAGTGGTATCTGGGCATGCGCTAGCCGAGGGGTCTCCTATTGGCTTATTGAGAGCTACTGCTGTGATGACAGAGGTTTTATTACACGTCACCGGAAGAGGGGGAGCAGTTGTTGTTTCGATCGTAGTGGAAACTGTGGTTAAGTTAATTAAACATAAACGTGTATTTGCAAAATAGTGTTAAGACTGTATATAATCTCAAGACAGAGGCATAAAAGTACCATAGCAATGTTTCTCTGACTGTTCTTTAACCGTCTTGCTAAAATGATGATGGTGAGTTAAATCAGGATATCCTACTTTTTCATATTACAAGTTACATGCTTCAAAATTAAATTTTCTTGCCTCTTGTACAATGTACTTTTGATGTTTTGAGAAAAAATGCTATGATGTTGTTATATACCTGTATACACGTATAAATATCAAGAGGTAGAAATACCTGTTGGACATGTTATGTTGTGAAAACAAATATAATTTTCACAAAAATCTCGTCCATAATTGATCACGACGTCACAGGAAAAATCTAAAGTAAAAAAGGAAATGTGAATCCGAGGTGGTAAGGTTCTTAGAATTATTTTTTCCAAACATTTTAATTCTCAAAAGAAGTAAAACAAATGTATATATTTGTTGAAATGACGTTTACAAGTCAAAACATCCTAAATTTCGTGTTTGAATGATAAAAATAACGGTTAAAGTATTACGCCTTGGCTGGAATGAATAAAACGTGAGGGTCTATGTGCTTATATTCAGTAAGTGTTGTTATATGCATTCCTTTTATGAATGTTTTGGATTAACAAAAAAAAATTTTTACCTAATGTGTGATGTGGAAAACACATGCAGGACGTGCACTCATTACAAAGATCGACGTCTCGTGCTTCTTTCTGTCCAGAGAGGTGTTTACCTTTGAAACAAAACGGTTAGTAACAAACATAAGAAGGGACGTTTTAGTTTTATATTTATATGCTAATATCATATTACACTGAATGGTTGTTACCCTTGATTAAAAAATCATTTAGAATAAAAAGAATTTAAGTGTTATTAAAACTGATTGTTCTTATGGTGTCATATTTTGGCCCCCTACATGTAAGGTAAAATTAAACATGTCAGCGTGCAAGATAATTATGTCGACATACAACCTAGTAATCTTAGTTTTAGAGAAAATCTTAATATAAAGTTGGTATATTACTAACGCCAGAATACATTATTTATGGAAGACTAAATAAAGAGCAAGAGCCATCTTATACATAAATTGGCCCTGTATTTATATCAAATAATTAACTATCACCCACTTTCCCATTTTATATGTCAAAATAAAGTAAACACTTGGTGCTTTCATTTTCTGTAATAAAATTTCGTTTTGAGAATTCAGATATTGGAAAACAGGTTTGAAAAATTGCAATGTTCTTGAAATTTGCTGAAAACATGCGTATTTGACTACCTTCAGAAAAGAATTAAAATATGAGCACAGCCCACGATCCAAGAAATAAAAATGTTTTTTGATCTTCAGAAACAGAGCTTTCATTATGTATTTGCATATTTTGGATCAGAGGTTGTGCTCTATATGAAATATTGAAAAAATGCTTCAACTTTAGTCCATTTTCAAAGGAATTTACACGATATGAGGAAAATGACGCATTTTCTGACGTCATAATGCATTGAGCAGATGGAAAATTACGTCACAATTAATAGATATGTGGTCACCAACACTCCAAGTGATAAATGCTGCATTTGCAACCTAAACAGAGCGGTTTTGATTTTTCGGAAATTCTCAGGGCCAAATAAGGCCCAACGTGGCTCTTGCTCTTTATGTTCACATGCGACAAATTTCTCTCAACATACTAATTTAATTATGTCAACTTATTTATGTCAACATACAAATTTTATGTCACTGTGCCAAATATTGGTATGCAACTATTTATACTCAATAATCTATCAAATTGAATGTTTCCTTAAATTTTTTCAGTGCTGCACTTAGTGTTGACTTAAAAAGCACCGTATCTTCATAATTATATCAGGTGACAACGTGTACATTATTATTGTGCATATGTAAGATAATTATGTTATCTATGCTAGGACTTGCCTTTACATTATCCGATTCCATATCAACTGTAGATGCTTTTTAGATAAGTTGTAGATTATTATTATTATCTTGCTTGTTATCATCATTATTACTATGTTAACATGATAAATTTCCAAGTTGACTTAAATAACTTGCAGGTTAAAATATTTAACTCGCAAAATTACATAAGTCACACGTCAACAAAATACTTAGTAATGATGCATCTTGCATATCTGATGTCAGATGCGGGTGTTACTAAATAAATTCTACCCATGTTAAATAAGATTCTCTAAAATGATTGGTAATTTGCATGACAACATATTTTTCTTGCATGTTGACACAATCATCTTGCATGATGACATCTTGAATTTAGGGGTCAGAAATATGCTACAGTAATTTTATGATAAAAACACTTTTTCCCCTCTAAATTAAGGATTTTTTTCCGTTGAAAAGGGCTACATGATTATCGAAGTAAGACAAAATCCATCTTTCCTTTGTAAAAAAAAAATAGTATATGTATATACTCTATGTATATCAAGATTTAGATGACGAACTTTATTTGCAGACACGTGATACTCAAACAAATGTTCTGTAACTAAATAAAATATACTTATCAGTTAGATATCATTTCTACATCAAATTATTCAAATTGATTAAATACCTACTGTCAACATATGAAGAAATGAGAAAATTTGTCTGAAATAAAAAAAAATTATGTTATGCAATTTTATTTTCTCAATGCTAACATTAATTAAAAAATGCAAATATCATGTCAATATTCTTTTTATATTTGTTTCATTTTATCTTGAAATACGTGTATGTAATTTTATTAGCCATTGAATGAAATTGATATTGTAACAGATATAGTCGTAGTTTGATATGGAATTTAATTCTCTGAAACATATTATAAGACATGGTTTCATTGGTTTTTATATACATTAGGAAATTTTTTTCCACTCATGAAATAAATTTATATCTACCTACACACCATTGAACCTATTTTATCTGATAATACAAGAATTAAGTTACTATCATGATATATCATCTAAAGCACTGACCTCATATGAAGATATTAATTCAATAACACACGTAAAGTATTAACTTCTTGTTACCAAATAATTATGTTCAGTTATACTTACCCAGAAGAAAAAAGTCAAGAATGTATATTTCCAAAATGGTCCCATTTTTTAAAAGGAATTGTTACGCCCTGAAGCAAGAAAAGATTTTTTTACATTTTGCAAGGGGTTCAGAATTTAGAAAGTTGGACGTACATACGGTCATACTAATTGATATTTTTAATAATTGGTCGAAAAATCAAAACAAAATACTTACATTATAATGTTAAATTCTGTTTTCTGTTGTCAATGACAGAAATGGTGGTCTATTCGGTAATCATCTGCTACAACTGGCAATGACCTGATAAATTTTCCAACATGTTTTGCCTTGACTGATAATTCTAAATATACTAGTTCTAAGAACGATTGTTTGAGTTAAGGAAGACGTCTCTTTAGTGAAAAATACAGGAAATGTTAATCTCTGTATTTTATCATTAAAAATTGTATATCAAATTTATCTTCAAGGAAAAAATAACATTTACACATGGGATGTTTTATTTATTTTTTTATTATGTTATGTTTCATAGCTCTTAGTCACGATCTCTGATTGTGTTTTCTCAATGTCCACTATAGTAGTTGGTTACTTGTTAGAAGTTTTTCGACTGTATTGTTTTATGATTAATTGATCTTGAATACTGTTCGTTATCTCCTTATGTTTTATTTCTTACATACAGTGTATTAATTAAGTAAAATATAACAACCACCTTATTTTTTATCGTTGAACATGAGTTCTTAAATATTTGTTTATATCGCTGTCCTCGCTGTCCAAGATCAATAAAATCATAGTTCTCTGTGCATCATTCAGCTGTTTAATTTTACACTCCTATAAAAGGTTTTTAGTATAATTTGTGAAGGAAGTTAGAAGATCTTAATTTTGAAAGCTATTACATGGCTCGTATATACTTGTATTTTCAAATAAATGTAATCCACAATTATTGTGAAACATATTAGATAAAGTGACCGACGAATATTAGATACCGGTATAATCAAAGAAATTCATAGATCTTGCAAATTGTATCCTCCATTTGGGCTTTAATGCATAGTAAGTGTTGTAGCTGGGTATCAGTTTGTGCACTTTGAATTTTGAGAATGTGTCACATGAGTGGAAGAAGACATTTTAAAACATTTATATACGACTCTAATTTTGAACTCTAGATAGATAAATTAGAACTTTGATATATAAGTTATACATTTAACATATAATGATTGTATGTATAAAACATATTCAATCATAAAATAATGTTATTTGTATATCAAAGTTTCTTTATAAACATCGATAGCTAAAGAACTTGTTTTCAATCCATGTTTATTTGTTCTATTTATGCAGTCAAAGTGTTTTTAAATCACTATCCAAACCATGTTATTTTTGACGACTTAATAAAGAAAGTACAACATTAGCAAGTGCACATGAGTACGGCTTGTACAGTTTTATTGTTTGTGGGATATGGATGTCGTGGCGAGTTTTTATGAGATTGAGTTAAATCAAGGTAGATTGATATTGCAAAAGCCTTCTTTGTTTATTTAGTATAAAACTAGTGATGAAAAACATCTGATAAGAAATAATATATCTACATACCTTGATGAATAGCTGGCCACACAGGTATCCGAAAAATAATTTTTTCCACATGGAATTCCTGCAAGTCTAAGAAATTGCCTCATATATTTGACTATCTTAAAAGCTTATTTCAAAATACGAATTTTTGTCTTCAACACGTACATTTGCCAATTTTTTTAAACTAAAATATATTTAAATGACCCATATTCCTCATTTCCTGATAGTCCACAAACACTTAAGACCTGTTTTAGACAAACTTCTTGTTGTTAATGAAGTTGTTTTATTTTTGCACTATAAATCTATATAATAATATATAAGCTGATGTAACAGAGATATAACAAATCTAGTTTAATTTCAGAAATTTGTAAATTCTTTTGTCAATCATTGACCTTGTACGCAAATACATTATTTTCAGACTGAATTGTCTGTCCTTTTTATTTTTTTTTATATTTTTCACAATCTGTACAAGGATAACAGTTAGTATAAAAGATGCTTACTACTCTGTGGCAACTAATCATACCTCTGTTTTCAGAGGTTCGTCTTTCCTCTACTTGTAATTTGGATTAATTGATTTGCTTCATCATTTACAATCAAGAATCTGTTTTTTTTTCAGCTTTCTGACATTTTTTCAAGAATCTATGAATAGAGAACCAATAACCCATAAATTTAAAAGACCATTTTGCAACAGAAAAAAAAAAGGTATTTTAAATTTAATTTCCATGAATAATTTTTTTCTTCAATATTTCTGTTTAGACATGCCAACACTTTACTATCTTGGGCTTACAAATAATTGGGAGGTAAAAGTATTCTTTGGGGTGTTAAAGTTATCTATAACGAAAAGAAACAATAACAACATTATTTAGTAGTTAGTTCAGTATTTTGTTTTTTCTGATTTGATACCTGAAAATAAAATCCTAGTCCTACACAACTTCTAAATACCACCAATTAACAACCTTTTAAGTGAACACGTGAGTCTTCATTTAAACCAAATGTAAAATTTTTACATGTCTAAAGCTCTATTTAAACTATTGTCAGAGCTTAAGTAACAATCGGGTCTTTTCTGTTTTGTAAAATATTGGATTTATGATAAAGAATATAAAAAAAAAAATAAAACGGAGAAAAATGAAATTAATGTACACACGTTTTGATGCAATATTTCATCTTGACATGAGCAAAGTTTATTGTCCTTGCGTTTTAAAGATTAAATTGTAAGTTGGTTCTTTTACTTATAACAGATTCAATTCTTCCTTTTATTTTTACCTTTTTATCATTAAGAAGATTATGGGACTAACAATTACCCTTCTATATCATTAAGTTAACCAATCAAAAGTTTAATAATATGTGTCAAAATTAGTTTTAGATATGAATACTAGTATTCAAATCTGCTCATCAAACCAAAAAGAAAAACGAAAAAGATTAAAACAAAAACACCTAAAACTACAGCAAAAACTACTGTTTCTTTTTCGTTACAGTTTTAAATTTAGAAATTTATTGTTGGTATTCATTGCGTTTTTATGATTTTTTAACTTCTTCTGTTCCTGATAAAGGGACAGGGTGCCCCCTAAGATTTGAAAATGTGTTATTGTTTATGTCCTTGGTCATTTTTGGGTGCTTTATATTAAATGTTTGAATGTTTTAAAGGTCCGTGTTTGCTCTGCTTCTAATTTGTATTGCTTCATGGACTTTTGATCTTGAACGCTGTTCGTTTTCTCCATATGTTTCATCATTAAATTTTTAAATGCATAGCTTCATGATAGGAAACCTGATATGTTTAAGCAACTTCTACGCACTTCAGGTTTGAAATATTATTAAAAATTGTAAAATTGTTTCCAAAAGATGTGTAATGTCTTTTTCTGATTCATGTCTGTAAGCTATAATAACAATGTGACAAAATGTAATAAATCAATGAATGTCTTTTATTCAGAAACACTGGAGTTTGATTAGGATGGTTAATTAGATTTTAGTCTGTTATAAGGATAAAATTGTTTGGCAAAGGGAAAACAGTAACAGTTTTCAAATAAATTAAATAGTTTTTTGATGAATTACAGCAATGATAATGAACTCACATAAGTGACATTAAAATAATTCAATGTGAATTATTCAAAATAGAACTTGATGGCATTCTGCTGACAGAAGTTTATGTTATGATCAAATATTTTATAACAAAATTTTATCATATTGTTTTCCTAAGAGGTATAGAAAGGTCACTTAAATCCTTCTCTGTTTGAACAGGTAGAAATCCATAATGTTTATAAACACTCATACACTCTTTATCAATGAGCTGTATATCCTTGAATGCTAGTTTTAGGCGCCATTTTTCCACATGTTCAGAAGAGTTCGCCCGTTTGCTACAAATGGCACAACTGCTCAGCCCTGCGCTGGTGATACCAGTTATATAGTCCCGGACCACGGAGGTAAAGTTCATGCCTGTGAATTCATAAAGCGATTCAGAAGTTTTTATGGGACTAGACGCTAGGTCCTCGTAATAAAGACGCTTTATACGTCCCGGATACTTGGTGCGGTACACCTCTGAAAAATAGTGGTCTCTCTCCATCGCTCTGCACTTTTGTTTTGCAAATCCTACATTGTATCTCGTGGTATTTGCCAATGAAACTGAAAAAAAAAATAAATAAAAGCCATCCTAATCCTTAAAATGCAGTTTACTGTATATTAAATCTCTGCTAGATTCGTAAACAATTAATCTATGCTTTTTTGGATTTGTGGGAAGATTTCAAAGTCATATATCAATGCACATTAAAAGCACATTATTCCAAAAAATACCAAATGTTCTCGGATTTTTTAGATATAAATCATGTGTTTTGTACCAGATTGACACGTTATATTGGGGGAAAAAGAATCAAAGATTGCAGAAATAATTTAATCTTCTCTTAAGTTCTCATTGAAAGTTACACGATATGGGTGTTTTTATGTTGAATTCTGTATTTATTCTGTATCTCATTTGGATTTTCATTGTAAAAATAAACCAGAGTTAATTATGTTTTGAACATCATTTATCAAATGATGTGGAAAAAATTATCAAGTCTTCAAAACTCTACTTAAACAACTATTTATTAATTAATGATCAAACATTTGAAGCCGTAAGAATATCAAAAGTTCAAAAGGCTAGCGGAAATGTTATGAAATTTAAGATCAGAACAATTTTATTGTCGACATGGGATAAACATACTAATTAATTCATTACGAGACTCTTGTCATTTAAGAAAAAAACCAAGTAGATCTGTCAAATTTCCTGACAAGCTTTTTTCTAGGTCCCAAAAAATCTATGTATCATGTTAGTTTGTCATCGAAAACAGGTAAGCCCTATGTCGACTGACCTCTGGCGCACTTGTGCAAAAATAGCGAAAACGTGATTAATATAAATTGTTTTCAATTATTTACAAATCAAAGAGAACTTCAAAAACAAATGGCAGTTTGTTAAAAAGATGAATTACTTCGTAGAAATATTTCCATATTGACTCTTATCTAAAGATAAATTTGCATTTGAAGTAATTTGTACTTTAATCAATCAATAACAAGTTACGAATGTACATATGATACATCAGGTTCTCGCTAAAACATATTTGAGAAAATGAATACTAGAAAAAAGAAAATTTATGTATCATTTCGATATTTTTCAAAAAAAAAAAAAGAAAAGAAAAAAAGAAAAAAAAAGACCAAATTCGCTTTCTGTAAAATAAGCTATTATGACGTTTTACATTCTTTACTTATTTTTCTTTTAATTCATTTTTTTCAAGAAACATCACATGTATGACCAAATTTGCTTTCTGTAAAATAAGCATGCAATCATGACCTTTTACCTGGTCTAGCATTTGAAACCAGAGTTTATTAAACAAGAAACAAAAGGAAGAACTTAAAATACTATTACAATTTATAAAATGTAAATATATTTATTTGGCTTACCTATAGAATTCACCTGAGCCCTGGGGTCTCGGACAAGATGAATGACTTTAAGACTGGGGTACCTCTTCAGGTAGACCTCAGCATACTGCATAGGTATCCTTATTGTTTTAATAGTTCGAAACCTAGAATTTTGGCACATTTTTTCTAGTTCTACCGCACACATTTGTGTTGCTAGTTTTTTATTTATCTTTTGTCCTAATTTCTTCACATAGCACTTAATAAATTTATTGGTTTTATTTCCAAATGTCTGAAATCCGTGAACTAATGTTCCAAAGTCAAGATTAGAAAAATTACAGTCGAAGTATGAGTTGATGATTGTAAATGCTCGATTGAAGAATAGTTTCCTTTCAATATTTCTGCAAAAATAAAACAAAATGTATCACTGCATCACTAAATATTGGAAGACATAGTAAACAGAAGCATAGTAACTTAATTATACTTCATAAGAAGAGGAATTTTATGTCAATTAAGTTGCAACTGCAAGTTGTGTGAAAGAGAATATCAAAATTGAACTAAAAATAAACTCTACTTTGAGAGAACCAAAACATATTTTCTTGCCATCACGAAATAGGTTTGGAGCCTTACGGTTTGTTAATACAAATCTAAGAGACATTATATGTACAAGTAATGCGATATAAAAGTATGCTAACAAAAGTCCTGTAAGAGTAAATGAACATCTTCGAATTTTTTTATCATAAAAATCAAAGTATCTGCATAAAGTATCTCAGTGAAATTTTTACTTTGAAATTCAGGTCTTCATAACTCATCAATCTCAATGGAATTTTTAAAAAAAAAAAAAAAAGATTAATTGTATATACGGATGTCAGTAAAGTTCTTAATTGACATTTATTAATCTGAATAAGATAATTTAGACATCTTCAAAAAATATATATTTTCGTTGTAAATGAAAGTTCCTTGTCTTATTTTATAAAAGTATGTTCTCTATTTTAATATTATTCAAATACTAAATCTCACAATCGTAAATCATTACAAGTAGAAGTATTTGTTAGGAAAGGATTTTTGTGCAATACACTAGACATGTAAACGTAATAAAAATGGTATCTGAACACAACTCACACATATTTGCCATTTAAAAGTTGCACGGACTGAAGCTTCTTTCCCATCTTCTCTGTAAAGTGTAGAGGTTCATACACATAAAAAGAATCTGGGTCCTGCTGAAGAATATCGCCCGTCAAAGACGAACCACTCCTAATATAGGCTACAATTAGTATGTGAGTAACATTGTAACTGATTTCAGGGACCATATTTACAATCTGTGTCGTGTCTTGTGTGCTAGACGTGTTTGAAGAGACATCGACTGAGGTTGTTGTAATATTTGGATTTCTTGTTGTTAATTGTTTTTGGTTTAATTTGTAAAAAATGTTTTTGTCATTGTCCATTGCAACAACTCTTGTGACTTTTGGTGTGACCTTGTTCAAGTTGAACGTCTGCCCAGCCGTTGTTCCTTGTATGACGTAGGAATCTAGATGTCGACCCTCCCGTATATATGACCTCTCCTGCACTGAAAACATAATTTATATTTCAATTATTAATACCCCTTATCTAGATATTTTACCCCAGCATTTTTTATGTGATACAGTTGAATATCACTAAAAGTGGGACAACATGAATATATATAAACAAATTTGCATAATCTGGCTTTTTCAATGTCATTGAATATAATTTATCTTCCCTGGGTTTCATTGGTGACCAGGATAAATTGCCAGTAACATATTTCGAGTGTATCTCGTGACAGTGCTAAGGCTTCCTTGCATATTGCTGACTTCTCACCTGCAAATAGTGTTAAATACAGGTGTGCAGTGGCGATAATTAGCCCTAATGTAAGGAGCACACGCTTCCATCGTTTCTTTATCATCTGTAAGACATAAAGATGAATGGGGTCACTCTTAGATACATTAATTAACATATTATAAAAATAGTCTCCCTCAGTAACGTTAAATATCTAGCATACATAAACAAAAATAAAATGTCAATGAGAAAAATAAATAGGAGACTAAATCGAGAAGAAAAATTGTCTTAAATATATTGACACATTTATTTATTAAGTCTATTAATAAATGCAACAGAATGTTAAAAAGCCTTTAAATTTGACTTTTTTATTTTGTAGAAGAGGATGAGTTCATTTTCTATAAACTATAATCGGTATAGAAACTGTTGATATACGAATATATTGCTTATATGTTGGAATTTCAATTTTTTTTTAACAAAGATTGATCTATTTAAATCTTCAAGGGCAGATGATACAAACAAACTTTTGTCAAAAAATTTGAAAATAACAATTTGAGTCATGTTTTAATGAATAAAATGAATAAGTTTCACCTAGGGTTTAATTGTTTATTCAAATTTGCACAAAAATGGAATTTGAAGTGAAAAAATTTGTATAGAATAATAAGGATGGTTTCAGAAGGGTAGAGTTTTGAACATCACAGAAGGTTTGCAATTTCTTTATATTCTACAAATTTATTATTTGCATCATTTGTAATAAAATTAGATCAAAAAATATGTACCAATCCAGGCATCCATGTTTTGTTTATATCATCTGTCATTGAATAGCATTTGATTTTTTACCACGGTAAACCGAGTTTGACATACATTGCCTATAATATTAGGCAAAGAAAAAAAAGAAAACATATTTGTAATTTCTGAGGTCCATGATTGCTCTGCTACAAATGTGCATTGTTTGATGGACTTTTAAGCTTGGATACTGTTCGTTATCTCCAAATATTTCGTTAATATGTTCATGTATTATGTTAATTGACATACGAGTCCGTTTGAACAGATGTTGTGCATATAAGGCTTTTTGACTAATGAATATAAAATAAATGTATAAACATGTTTTATAAAACACTTTATCACTTACATACCTAATCTCTGTGAAAATCTCATTTAATTCTAATTATAAAATACATAAGGAAATAATTAAATAATTAATGAGACACGTCATTTTGGAATATATTACACGTATAGAACACGTACATGAAAAAGTATCCAATTTGGTTGACAAAAAGCGCATGTATAAAACAATACTCAAAAATGTAGACGTTAGAGGCAAAAGGCTGTACATAATAACCGACCTCGCAATTCATGAAAATTCAAATTACTTGATATGATATATGTTTTAGTTTACAATGAACAGAAATTTACATATTTACCAGCCTCATAAAATTTTCTGTTTCAAGATATTTTTTGAATTGAAGATTAGCTGGCTTTAAAGAAGTGTGACTTCTGATGTGGGTTTTTGAAATAGATATGTTTGAATGATAATCGCAAAATCACAGAATCTTTGGTTTCATTATATGGAAGAAAAGCATAAGTGTAAGTTAAGCATTTTTTATTCTCCTTTTAATGTAGACTACGTTTTGGATTGTCAGAAAAGTACTGTGCATTTATTAATGTTTGTGTAATCAGATGCTTTAAATTGTATGTCAACTTTTATATATTATTGGGAATGTTTATTTCTTTCTTCAACACACAAATGAGAATTAACGTATATGCACCCATGATAAAATTTTAGTTGTGACTTTTAATTTAGTTGGATAGAAAAACTATTTTACACGAACTATTTATCGTATAACTATGTTTTACGCCATAAATACATTTATTTAAAAAAAATATACAAATCAGATTGACTATGAAGTCATTTCTGAAGGAAAGTTCTTTTTGTTTGCTTTGTTCACCTAATAATGGGAAAATAAATTATGATGAATTTAAACGGTACCCAAGTTATACTTGTGTAACCCTGGAAGACCGATTTAATAAATTGCTGTCTGGTTTATAAACATCTGAGTGTTCCAACCCAGGTTGTGCAGCATATATATATATTAGCCTTAAAAGAAATACAACACACACACATCATATATAATAAACATATTTTTAGTCTATTTAATCTTTGCAAAGTATTTATTTACTTATTTATATTTTCTATACATCATTTGGGATATAAATTGATAAAAAAAATCTAAACAATTCATGGATAATAACAATTTAAATAAGACTTGCATTTTTTTTTTATTAACAACTTTCACTAAAACCCAATATAACTGTACATGTACATACCGATATGTCAAACATGATTTGTAACTTTCATTCTCGAACATATAACTCTTTCCTTTTGAAAGAAAAAGCAAAAGAAGAAATCGCCATGACTCAAACACAACTCTTTTTAATCCGAATATCACACTTTTTGAATATGAAGCTAAAATGCTCAGTATTCCAAAACAAAGACATCCGACTTTCTTCAAACCGCCACTATTTAGTAAAATAATTTTCCCATCGTAAATGTCTGATTTACACATAAACAGGATATAAAAGGCATCACTCTGAGTGAAGAAGCACCGGCGCAATGACAAGGTTCTAGTTCCCTTCACAAGACGATGTTTCACGGACCCACTTAATTCTCATGACCCGCCAAATGACAGCCGTAAAAGGACTTCTCACTTTAAGACCAAAGTTTAAGCCCTGTATAAATCATACACGCCCAGCCGTAGTAATGATGGATTAACAGTTTTTAATTTGATGCAGACTAATTGGATGCGTTGTTTTTACAGATTGATCACATAGTTCCCTGTAATTTAACTTATTGTAAGATATTCAGAGCGTAATAGTTTTCATCAAAAATAGTTTTGAAAATGAAGTAGTAACAAGTTCAAATTTAGTTATTTCAATCAAACAAATATATGGTTATGTAAGATTCAGTTGTAAAGATAATATATTATAAAAATACAATGTCCAGTTTTTGATAATTAATACACGGACAAAAGAAACCGAGGACAAGCATCACTTAAAAAAACTATTTGTATTTTCCGGGAAAATTTTCTCTTTTTGATTTTACATTAGTTCTATAGCTTCTAAAACATTGGGTCTTTGAGTTTTCTACCTTAAAAGCATACAAATACTTTGCAGCAATCCTATCGTCGACCCCCATTTTCATCTAGTAAACGGTGATCATGATTTGTTGTGAGACTTTTTAAAATCATATCTAGCTGTTCTGCCAAATATTGGAGCTAATTTGTTTTACATGATATATGTGGATAACAAACAGTAATTAAGTCATTAAAACGATACAAGATTTGTGGTAGGACAAATACAGACACAGCAAACCATAAGAGGTGGAATGGGGTGCCAAGGACAAGAAAGTAATCTTGTCTATAGGCTCCTTGTTGTGAAAATTGTCACATGTTTTGCTTTAAGATAGGAACACTTAATCAAAGGTGAGTTGTTCCTGGGATTTCCACTCAATGAAAAGAAAACAAACACAGGCGGGTGTGACCGGTCAGCAGAGTATGCTCACTCCTCCATGGCACCTGATCCCACCTCTGATGTTTTGGAGGTCTGTGTTTGCTCCGCTCCTATTTTGTAATTTTTAATGGACTTCCGAGCTCGAATAATGTTCGTTATCTTTACATATTTCATTTTATCTCTGTACTTTCTGGTATTTGAATTCTAATAAATTTTATGAACGTATAAATCCATCGCCTTTAAATGATGAATCAAAGAAGACCATAGTTTTTTTTTAAATATAACTACATAATATTGCATATTCCTGTTCAATGACGAGGGCTTAAAACTAGCTGGACTGTCATATAGGATCTATACATTTCACATTTTAGAGTTCAGCTTTTATAAGTTTTAAAGTCTGATCGATATCTCCACTTTTTTTGGTCAAATTTCGCCCGCGTGGCACAGTGGTTAGAGCGTTTGCTCGAATATTCGAATCTGACTGCGCGACTTGGAGACCTGTCCATCGGATATAACGGTATAAATCGAGGTTCCGTATCGAAGAGGAACCTGTTACACATACCAACAAATCCCTTTCCACTCAAAGGCCATAAGTGCCAAAGACAGGTCTAGTTTTGCCGGTTTTTCCTCAACCGGCAAATGATGCCATCTCAATATAAGTGACAATTCTCGAGGAAATTCAAAAAAACAAAAGTTTGTCACATTCCCAGTTAGGTTTGTGTCCTAAATTATCAAATCCCTCTCTCTCTCTCTCAAATCTCAGAATCTTTCAAAATCATGTGGAACACTTGTCTTATTCACGGTATTTTGATATGAAGTTTATTTTTTAATGATTTGTGATACATAACCAGGCATTTTTTGAATTTTATGTACAGGACCGTCTTTATGATAAACTTTCGTTGTAGAATAATATTTTTCATTCTAATTATCAGAGAGCTGCTTATAAAGTAAGTTATGCTATTATTACATTTTTTATAGCATATAATTTTTTTTTATTTAGATAGTGCATTGTCACAGCTATTGATATGAATAAACATATTGTAACAGACTACCAAGTGCAACTAGGAAAGCATTGAAAGGTACCAAAATTAAGAAAGGAAATAGTTTAAATTTCATTTAGCATATATTTTCTATTCAACTGCATAGACTCATGTAACAGAAATGTTAGTCATCTCCTGCATGTCGATATTTCGTTAAAATATCAAGAGATCAATAAAAATTCCTCTGTGCCATCCGTTCATTCAATGTAACGATAATTATAATACACAAGGGAAGCTAATGAAAGCGAATTAGTTTTATAGCCAGGCTTTCATAAATGTTTAAACACCTTTACATTCTCTCATGTCTATCTTATCAATTTTGCTTTCTAATAAAATTGATGAAATTAATTTCAGCAAACTTATCTCAGTATTTAATTTGAAAGGTCATAAAGCAATCTGTTTTATTTTTTTTATTGCTTAGTATTTCATTTGAATAGGCATTTAGTTTGATTGAGCATGTTTGATCACAGAAAGAAATAACTTTAAATCTGACGTTTGATATGTACATATCTCCAGTATTTAATTTGAAAGGCTAAATCAGTAATAGAAAATACATTATTTCTGTTTTTATGAATAAACCAACTAAGTACATAGTTATGATGAGCAAGAGTGCCTCTACCAAATTGTGAATTTTATGGCCCCAAGGGGCTCTGGAGGGCGGGGCTCTATTGATAATATATAGTGAAAATACATGATTTCTTTGAAAATCTTCTTCTCTGCCCCTGGGTATTAAATATACTAACTTAGTGCATAGTTATGATGAGCATGAGTGCCTCTACCAAATTTGTGAATTTTATGGCCCCAGGGTCAGGGGTTCTGGCGTTAGGGTGGGGCCCTATTGATATATATATATGTATTATTTACATTTTTATTCAATATATAAATTAATAAAAATGGTGATTATATATGAAAATAAGAAGATAGGTATTAAATAAACCAACTAAGTGAAAACTTTCAACAATAATAAAAATTGATTATATATTAAAAATTACATGACCAATATACTAAACTATGGTGCAAAATTGTGAATTTTATCCCAGGGTGGCATTATATATTGTCAAATTTTCTTTTAAAATTAGATTTGCCAGGAGTTAACGAAAATCATCATAAACATTGGAGATATATTGAAAATGATTTATCATAACATAAAATGTTCAAAATGTCAGCAACTGCTAAGTGTATTGTTATGATGATCAACTTTCAAAATTGTGAATGTCATATAGCATCTGGCTTAAAACATGAATCAAAGAAAACAAATGTGTTCAATTATTTTGTTCAATATATAAATTAATAAAAATGGTGAAAATGAAATAAGAGATAGGGGAAAACTTTCAACAATAATAAAAATTGAAAGATTAATTACATGACCAATATACTAAACTATGGTGTGGCATTAAATTGTCAAATTTTCAGAGATTTGCCAGGAGTTAACGATCATCATAAACATTTGAGATATTTGCATAAAATGTTCAAAATGTCAAACGACTATTTCCTCCTTGCAAAAACAAATGTGTTCAATTATCTTGTTCACAGTAGAGAGACTATAGAATGTTGTAACTTATCCATGTTATTACTTCAATTCATAAAAACACTTAATATTTAATCGATGCATCAAACCTTAATTACGATGATCGAGAGGCAATTTTTGATAGGGTAAAATTCATAACCCTTCAGCATTACAGTTCAAAATGCTCGAATTCGCTCTCTCCCTCCCTTCCCCCAGATGGGCTAATATATCAAAAGGATATCTTACCTTGTTGTGTGGCTTATAAGAAGCAAAAGAAACGGCATCTACAGCAATTCATCTACAATAGAAGGAGATACAATTACATTGTAATCTGATATTAACGTATAAGCCACTGGCTCTAAGCCACTAGAGTGGAGCCTGCTTTTATGACCATGTAGCAGACTCCGTAGTACCGGTCCCAGGGTACACACATATGGCAAGAAGCGTGAAATTTTCTATATAAGTAATCATTCTCTCATCTCTATCTGTTTAACAGTTCACTGCAGCAAGGAACGACGGAACAGTTAGACGAATCAATACTAATGAAAAGCGTATCACTTTTTCCACTTTGTTTTTTCTTTCCTGAGCACTGTTTGACAGAAATATTTAAATAAAAAGGATAAAATAAGTTAAGAAGATTTCTACAAAACTGCTTTGGAAATATATCTCATACTTGAAATTGAAAGATTGTTTGTTGTTCTCATTTTCAGGATTCTTATGCAAAAATTTAATTCATGTAGCATAAAATATAGATGTATTGGGAATGTTTTTCTTGCATGAAAGAGGATCAATTACATGTACATGTGCACACTGGAATTAAAAGTCCATCAGGAATGTGAATACATGAATATAAATACTTTCGAAATTCGTTATATAATAAGATTCAATTTTGCTTGGTAGTTCTGTAACACCGATCTTTTTAAAAAGTTTATTTCTTCACAGGAGCTGGTCTATGTTAGAAGTTTTTAACTGTATTTCAGAGATGAAATATTTAATTCGAAGAACTATATAGTGTGGTGATATGCAGTCTTATTAAATATTCTGAAACACATAAAAAGACCACTGTAATTGAAAAGCACTTTCAATTATTCTTGTTATATATCACTTCTTCACTTTTTTAATTCTTCTTCGCACCTTTTAAAATGTTATATTGGCCAATCATACATTCATGCATAATTTGTTAAGGAAATAAATTTTGAAAAGTTTCTCATTTTATTATCCCCTCTTGAAGAAAATGTGGGTCATGTAGGCCACGGCATGAAGCAACCTTTTTAAAGTTTGATGTAGTCCAGTTTGATGACGTTTTTATATATATATATATATATATATATATATAAACCAAGGCCTTGACTGATTTAAACAAGGAATGTTACAGCTTTCGTAATAGTAAAAATAAAATGTACTTCTTAATTTGAACTTTTGTCTGATGATGTAGATGACGTAAATTATATACAAAATACATCGTTTTGACCGAGTAAAGTGCAATAAAATGCAAGCTAGTGTTATAAATTGTAAATCGATTAAACCTATGACTATAATATGACTTATCAAATGGCTTTGTAGAGATCCATTGCAGATTAAGGACCTACTACGTAGAATTTAGGCTTTCTTGATTTTTTTTAAAAGATACAAGTAAAATCGTTAACAAATAGATACAAACTGGATGAAACACATTTGCTACATTGAGAATCGATTATTTGATT